CCCATTTGCCACTTGCAACACTGCATGACAGCCTGTGTTTAGGGTGTTTTCAGATCGTCCATCACACGGTCCTTCATGTTGTCTATAGCGCTGAAACTGGTGCAGATGGTCGAGGCTGATCTCCATTTTCACTCGGACTCATGTGTCAAACAAACTGAGGAAAGCTATTCACTTTTTGCCTTTTCAGTTTTGCTACCTCCACTGAAGTCTGTCAGGAGGAAACTGAAAATAATTGCCATGTTTGAGAAAAAACAAGTTAAATGTTTCACATACAAAATGTTTATACTTCTTTATTATTATTATTATTGTTCAAGATAGAGATGTTATAGTTGTTCTTTGATGCTAGAGTTAGAGATTTTGTTTAATTTTAATTAGTATAACTATTGTTCACTTATCTTGTGCTGTGTGCTCCTCATTCCTACTGTTCTGCAACACTGAAATATCCCCACCGTGGCACGAATAAAGGATCTCTTAATCTTAATCCTAATCTATAGAGTTTTTGATGAAACATAATATTGCATTTATGGATTAAAACAATAAGCACGTTCTTTGGGTACACAAAGATGTGATGTTATTCATTCTCTCCATATGTGGGGGTGATAAACTAATATTGTAGCCACAGCTGCCCTGGGGCACACTGACCGAGGCGAGGCAACCAATATGTGCCATCAAGCCTCTCCGATCACCACAATCGTTCACGCACACTCTATTCTCATTCTAAGAAATGTGGGTGAAGTAAGTAAGTAATGTTTATTTATGTAGCACATTTTGTAGACCAAGGTCACCCAAAGCATTTTACAATGTTCAGAGTTCAAATATTTTCTCTTCCTCTCCACACATGAAGATGACAGAAGCGAGACGCCGAGCTCAGCGTTGCATCAAAGCCCCCGACCAACCCCATCCACTCACTCATTACATTCAGACCTATTGTACATGTTTATAGTGGGAGAGGTATTCGGAGCACCAGGAGGAAACCTATTTCCCAAAAGGTTGTAGCCAAAGGACACTCCCCACTCTGCCCCATGGTGTTCCTACAGAGGTCTCCCATCACAGTTCTAACCATACCCTACCCTGCATAGCTTCAGAGGTTTGATAAGATATGCAATCCATGTTAATTAATCCATTTTTAAGGAAACTGTGTACTGTAGTTGTTTTGCTATTTTTTTTTCCAACAGAAACCCTCTAAATTAAGTGAAAAATATCCCAGTTTGTATTTGCTGCTGAAACATTACGAACTGAAGTTAAGAAATCACAGTCAGTTCACAAAATGAATAGGGCCGCTGTAAAAATGGAAAATGGTTTTGTATAAATCGTTTTCAGTTTGCAGCCAACGTACGGTAAGTGCTATTTTAACTCATACAAATTACTCTTATTCTTCAGTAAATACATTTTTATTATGAGAGTTGTTGAACAATCGCAATCAACTATCTGCATGTGAAAGCTAGATCCCATCAGACTTCTGTTGCTGAGCAGGGCCAGGTCTGGTTAGTACTGTGATGGGAGACACATTTTCTAGAATGAATTGTATGGTGTGTGTGTGCCGATGGCTGGTGGTGGTTAGCGGGTCTGATGGCACATACTGGTTGCCTTGCTTCTGTCAGTCTGAACCCAGGGCAGCTATGACTACTGTATACGTTTTTCACCACTGTGTCTATGCAGTGAATGAATAATGCCTCACTGTAAACCCTAACTTCAATCGTACTTCAGATATCAAAGCTATTTTAAATAGATTTTTCCCAGTAAGTGAATATTACTCATTTATTGTTAGTTTATATAAAGCTTGCCTATATCACTCAGGATTTTCTTTAAATTTAACTCTTTCTGTTCAAGTAAGCCTCACTTTTGACATTTTGACGTGTAGAGTCTTAAATGAGACAGGTGTGTTGCTAACAGGGTGGCACGGTGGCTGAGTGGGTAACACCTTCACCTCTTAACCACTAGGTTGTAGGTACGAATCCTGGTCAGAGCATAAGTTGAAAATTAAACTTTATCGGAATCACTTGAGTTTACTTGGTAATATCAAGTAAAGGATGTACTCGAGGAATTCAAGTGGTTAATATGCAATTTATTTCCATGGTTTTTTCAAGTAAACTTTACCTGTCAGGGTTTACGGTGTGTATAAAAAGCTCTGAATAAAACCGATGCATCCCTTGGAATTGTACATTTAAAAAGCTGTGCAGACTGTTTAGTGTGCGTTCAGGTAAAAATCAATGTTCTTTCTGTGGAGATGATGAGCTGAGATGAGTTGGGTCCTGTTGCCACTAATGCGGAGGATAAGAACTCTAATCCATCGCACATTTAATTGGCTCAAGCTGGATCTCCAAGAGTGACGCCTACCACCTCCGAGCATATATGTAATTCCCCTTACGAGTTTAAACAGTCCTGGATTTGCCCTCTGATCTGGAGAAACCTGAGGCAGGGTGCCTTTATTAACAGCCTTTGAATTATTAAGTGTTTATGAAGAGTTAAGTACAAAAACATGCAAGGTGGGGATGTCATCATATAAAGGTATTCTGTATCTAACACCAAAATTAAGGTATATGGAGTAGGGGCATTAACTCCTTCCCAATAATGATAATCTACACTGTTAAATGTCTATTAGGTGTATTTAGAATTGTACTAAGATTTTCTATGCATGTCTTTACATATTTTTCTTTTATTTTGTATTATTTGTTTGGACGATATACCAAAGAAAATGTGCAGTTTGTGACTTCCTGTTACTCAGAAGGGCAATACAAACACAGGGTGAACAATGTTAGTCTTCTGTATAATAAGTACATACTGTAAATTACAACAATTTATTCCTGTTTATAAGCTTGAAATAGAAAAAATAAATGAAACAAAAACCACAAGTCCATATACAATAAACAATTAGAAGGTTAATGTGTTTTAAGTTCTCTTGAACTTAAAACACATTCTCATAATCAAGGTTTCATTACTTCCTTATTGTGATCTGAACAAGAGATATGTCATTAACCACAGGACTTAGGACGGACTTAGTTGACTCATTGTTGGCAGACGAGATCATACAGTAAATGCTGGTTGTTTGTTTTATGTACTTCATTTTTCTTTTAATAAGTGGCCTTTACTTTAATTGTTCTATCGCCGTCTGAATAAAGTAAAACATCATGTTGACATACCTGGTGTCAGCATGGTCTTACTTTTACGTTGTGCATTCTTTGCAATCCAAAGTTCTTGATTTACTTTTAAAATGAAGAGATCCTTTATTCGTCCCACAGTGGGGAAATTTCAGTGTTGCATCACAAGTTATAGAACAGTAGGAATGAGGAGCACACGGCACAAGATAAGTGGACAATAAGAGATACGATTTATTGATCTCACACAGGAGAAATTTACAAGCTATACTAATTAAAATACAACAACATTTCTAACTCTAGCATCAAAGGACAAGTATAAAATATCTATCTTGAAAATAATAATAAAAATATGTGTAAAAGTTTTACATTTGGCAATATAAGTTAGCAGCTGTACATGTTAGCAGCAGTGTGTTTACATCTGACAGCAGTACTTTTTGTATTTATTTGATCAGGTGTCTCCAACCATTTTCAGCTACTCCTGCTGGTGGTCTTAAGAAAAATTAGGTATTGGTGAGAACAAGCCTAGTAACAATAATCTCCACAGTCATTATTGATCATCACTATGTATCACTAGTGCACTAAGTATAATAATAATGAATTATACATTCAAAAATATTCAGTATATTATTTGATTAGTTCATTTCTAAATCCTTTGGCGTGCTACTGGTGACTCCCAGACAACAGGTTGTTGATGAAAATGGAAGGTAAAATTAGGATATTTCAAACTAAACCACTTTGTCCTAACTCTGTCCTTCTCGGTTCTGTGTAATGTAGCAAATGTCTCCACAATATCAGCCTTTACAGACGGGAACGCTGACATCATGAGCTGCTTTCCTTCCATTTAATTCCATTCATGACGCAGTAAAAAGAGCCAGAGACAAACAACATTCATGATTTCAATATGAAAGTTTACTGTGGTTTTCATCTCACAGAGATTGTACATCACAATGCGTCTGTATTCCAGTCCTAACGTAGAGCAGATGTAGAAAACACAGAAAACAAAACAGATGCCGTATGGGAGGAATAAAGGCCTGGGAAGTACTGCAGAAGATTAGACATTCACTCACAGAACAAAAACAGGATCGCTTAGTTTGCAAAAAAGGCATTTGATTTCCCTTTGAAATTGACATATAGCGTAGGATTTAAATATGTACAATGTGAAACTGAAGTCAAACAAAAATAGATACAATTTCATAAACATCTGCTTGTTAGAGTGAAATCAACAGCTATGACCACTGCTACAAACATTAGGTCAAGTATTTTGTTACACAATTAATGTGTAATTAACTTACCAACATTAAACATAACTAATTTTACACGTTTAATCTTGAATAATGAATAACACAAACAGTTAGAATATCTTATCTTATGTCTATGTCCCACACTCCTGTACATGATCATCAAATAAGCCATTATTGATAACTTAACAGCAATATCTTTTTAAAAACACATAGATGATACATTCATCAAGTCATAATATAAATATAGTTTATTTAAGTCTAGATTTACTAAACAAAGAAATATAAAACAACAACACAGACAAAACAAAACAAATAAAAAGGCAAAATAATTGATATAAGGCAATGGATATAGACAAAGCACTGTCTGGTCTTTTGCATCTAAGCCAACAGAGAGTCTGTTGTGTCCCTTTAGTAAATGTATGTAAGGAGCAGCGGTTCAGCCTGAGAGTCCGTGAGGAGCTATAGCAGCAGAACTAATGCTTAATCGTTCCAACACCAACAACTATTGATCCATGAATCTGGAAACTGGGTTTAGGATGTGGCTGATTTTACTCTTAGAACAAGAATAAGAAAATCGTCCTTAGTTCCAAAAGTAGGTTCTTCTCGGATGCTTCCATTGTCCATTGTGGAGATGAACAAACAGAAGACTGCAGTTCATTGGCTACAAATTCATCGTTAAAACTATAAAAACAGTTCCAAACGTGACATGGGGTGGGAGAAGACAGCAGTGGCCCTGTGAGTTAAGACCTGTGAAGATAGAGAAAAACCAATAGCACGAATTACATCGCGTTCGAAATCTATGAAACCAGAAGGGCAATGTGGTTTAAAGAGGAGGGGATCTGGCCATGTACGTTACTCACTGGACATCATGGGTATGCGGATAGGTCCACTGCTGGCTCCATCTCCTCCTTCAGTCACTGCTTTAATCTCGATGAGGTAGTCGTCTCCTGATGGGACATGCAACGCCACACTGGGTCTTTTGGTCTCCAGAATTGTGGTTTTGCTGTTCCAGTTTGGGCGATACACAACCTGGACAAAACATGATTCAGATTGGTTTCTTCTAGACAAACAAACCAACTTACAAACTAACAGTAAGAAGATTTTCCGAGGATGACATGTGCATTTGGAGTCGGTCCTCAGACTATTAAGATTAAGAGATGCTGTTTTTGTCGCAAAGTGGGGACATTTCAGTGTTGCATCCCTAGTTACAGAACAGTAGGAATGAGCAGCACACAGCACCAGATAGAATGAATAAAATAACTTATAGCATAACAAAAAACAAGTATAAAATCTCTACCTTTGGCATAATAAGAAGCAAGTATAAAGTACTAAAGTAGGTTATCAAAGGTGTATTTTTGTAGAATGAACATGTGTAGAGAGTAATGATAAACAGCCTGCTTCCTCTAGTATCTTAAATTGATGCAGCACAGTGTAGGGCTGTCACGTCTGAGGGACACTGTACCGCTCTGGGCAATGATGTTTTCATTTTATCACTTCGTTCAGATCTTTTAATTTTGAAAGGCCAGGCTGGACCAATCCATAATGTGACACCAAAGTACTGGCTCTATCTATCTCCAGCAATGAGAAAGCCATTCAGGACCTGACAGCTCCAAGCCGCTATTTGTTTCTCTGCGACAGCCTTTCTCAGCGCACTCACCTTGTATCCAGTCACCTCGGACTCATTTTCCAGCGCCTTGACATGTTCCCAATTTAGAAAGATCTTGGAGTTGGTCAGGTTCCACTCAATGTTCCCCGGAGGCCGACTCGGTGCTGTGTGTAATTACACAGAAACACATTTTACAAATGAAAGCATAAATTAAAGTCATCAATAGTAAGCGGAGAACAACCCCGCGGTCAGGCTTGATTTAATCACTGTGTGGAGGCAAGACATATTCCACTGCGTCACGTCCCAGTCTTTCTTAAAGAGCACATGGAGCCCAGTTCAAAAAGCAAAAATGAAGAGTATATGTATGATTTTATTGGTGTGAAAAAAGTCGAGTGCTGGTCGATTTTAACGACATTAACGGACATCTATGAACATTTATGGACATTGGTCATCTGCCCCTTGTGGACCACTAGCTCTATGTGTTTTTATATGTTTTGCATTTTCTTTAAAATGTTTGATTTTCTCATCTGTGTTGGTGAATCAACAACTAAGTCCTCTGAGATAACCATGGTTGTGATTTAGGGCTGTACAAAAATGCATTGAATTGAAACTAATTGAATTGATTGAGTAAATAGATAATAATATTCAAATTTGGTTTGAATGGATTAAATAAGTGGTTACTTCATCCCACTCCTGTTAGAGTGGGATGAATGTTAGAATCATTTAGTATCACTAAGGGCGACAGTGGCTCAAAGGTCATGGGTTCGAGCCCACCACGAGACCCTCTCCACCGACTCCCACTGATGTCTGCTGTCGTTGTGTCCTTGGGCAAGACACTTAACCCACTTTGCCGATAAGGAGCGCGGAAGTGATGTTAGCTGCTTGCCTTGATGTATATGTTTGTATGTGTATGCCTCAAATTGAAATTGTGGGACGAATAAAGGACCTTCTTCTTAACTCTTTTTGTTATTACTTTTTTTGTTTCATTTTGTAAATGTACCTACGTTGCTTGTGATTCATTTGTACTCATTATTTCTATGCTCACTTACTTGCTCAAAATAAATACATAAAAAATAGTTATAATCAGCTATTTAATATGAATTTTGTAAGTCTGGGTTTTAGTTTGAAAATAATAGGTACATGTATTCAAACAACATTAATTGTAGTCTAATTTAACTCTTGTAAAGAATAGGAAACCAGTCAAACTATAAAGGCTGTGTTCTCTTCTGTGGACTCACGAGGTTTCTTGGTGGTGATGTTAAAAGCAGGACTGCGGGGTCCAAGTCCTGCACTGTTCTGAGCTCTGACTGAGATCAGATAGACCGTACTGGGCTTCAGAGCGGAGAGGCGCGCTGTGGTGGTGGTCACGCTCACACTTCGCTGGACTTCAGACCCCTCCTCCCAGAATAAGACCTGCCACACACACACATACACAAAACACATAAACAAAACAAAAACACAAACGCACACTTCACTGACCGCTCTCACTGTATATGCTTCATCGGAAATGAAAGTGGATAGATTTAAGGTTAGATAGAATGATAAATATACTGGGCAAACTCCAGCTTCTGCCAACTCCCTTTTGGGCTATTGTTTTTTTATATGCTTCTCTTTTGTATCATTGATTTTGTATCTTCTAGATGCCCAAATAAACACTTATACTTAACACTACAAAAAACCCAATATTTTGAGTGTGTGTGTGTTTAATCCTGATCATATAAAGTAAATAAACTATATTCTTTCAACATTCATAGGGTCAGCATAGAGGTCATCACTACTCATTGATTGATACACAATTGTACAGTAAATTCAGGTGACCATCAATAGAATCAGAATCAGAATCTGAATCATTTTTATTGCCACGTAAGTAACAGGAAGTCACAGACTTGGAAATTGCTTTGGCTCAGTGCAACAGTCAGAAAGAGATAATAAGAAAAAAAGAATAAAAAACACTTCTAAGGAATAAATTTAAAATTAAAATTGTTAATTACAGTTACTATTCACAATATACAAGTGCAGATGGTGCACACAATGTAAGGTGACAGCAGTACAGTGAAGTAAAGTGACGTATGATTGGCAGTAAAGTGACTTTATAAAGGGCGGGGGGACAGGTTAAGAAGTGTTCAAGAGTCCAACAGCAGAGGGGAAGAAACTGTTCTTGTGGCGGGAGGTTCTAGTCCTGATGGACCGCAGCCTCCTGCCTGAGGGGAGTGGTTGGAATAGTCCATGTGCAGGGTGAGAGAGGCCTCGAGCTCGGGCGACGTACAGGTCCTGCAGCGATGGAAGGCTGCGGCCGATCACTTCCTCTGCAGAGCGCACAATGCGCTGTAGTCTCTGTTTGTACCTGACTGTGGCTCCAGCGAACCACACGGTGACGGAGGAGGTGAGGATGGACTCGATGATGGCCGTGTAGAACTGCACCAACATCTGTGCAGGCAGCTTGGCTTTCCTGAGCTGCCGCAGGAAGTACATCCTCTGCTGGGCCTTCTTGATGAGGGAGCTGATGGTCGGCTCCCACTTGAGGTCCTGGGTGATGGTGGTGCCCAGGAAATGATAGGACTCCACAGAGGTGATGGGGGAGTCCATCACGGAGGGTGGGGGTGGGGGGACAGTGCTCTTCCTGAAGTCCACAATCATCTCCACTGTCTTCTGGGCGTTCAGCTCCAGGTTGTTACCACTGCACCAGGACACCAGCCGGTCCACCTCCCTCCTGTAGGCGGACTCATCGTTGTTGGAGATGAGTCCAATGAGGGTGGTGTCGTCCGCGAACTTGATCAGCTTCACGGAGTCGTGGCTGGAGGTGCAGTGGTTGGTGTACAGGGAGAAGAGCAGGGGAGAAAGAACACAGCCCTGTGGGGCTCCTGTATTTATAATCCGAGAGTCCGAGACATTCTTCCCCAGACGCACTCGCTGCTTCCTGTCCGTCAGGAAGTCAGTGATCCACCTGCAGGTGGAATCGGGCACGCTGAGCTGGGAGAGCTTGTCCTGGAGCAGGGATGGCAGGATTGTGTTGAAGGCAGAGCTGAAGTCCACGAACAGGACCCTGGCGTAGGTCCCCGGGGAGTCCAGGTGCTGTAGGATGTGGTGGAGGGCCAGGTTAATGGCGTCGTCTACAGATCTGTTGGCTCTGTAGGCGAACTGCAGGGGGTCCAGGAGGGGGGAGGTGAAGGCCTTGAGATGGGAGAGAACCAGGCCTTCAAATGACTTACTGACGACAGACGTAAGTGCTACAGGTCTGTAGTCGTTGAGTCCTGTGATCCTGGGCTTCTTCGGGACGGGGACAATGATGGAGGATTTGAAGCAGGCCGGGACATGGCAGGACTGCAGAGAGGAGTTGAAAATGTCAGTGAACACAGGAGTAAGCTCACTGGCGCAGTGTCTCAGAGTGGCCGGAGACACGTGGTCCGGGCCATGAGCTTTGCGGGGGTTGTTTGATGTCTTTAGAGGCTATTGTCAGGGTGGGGGCAGGGCTGATGGGTGGGTCGTTAGAGTAGTGGGGGATAGGGGAGGAGTCATGGGCAGCATCAAAGCGACTGAAAAAAAGGTTCAGGTCGTCAGCTAGCTTGTGGTCGTCAGCACAGGGGGGGCTTTGGGTTTGTAGTTGGTGATCTCCCGTACGCCCCTCCAGGCAGAAGCAGTATCGTTGTTACCAAACTGCTCCTGGTAGCAGCTGGTACAGGCAGAATATACAATAATAAATCATACAAATTTATTATAAAATATAGTATAATCCCAGACAAAAATTCCCTTTATATAGCGGACAGTAGAAGGGATAAAAGCTCGTGATGAGACCCTCTCTCAGCGGACAAGAGCGAGGCTACTAATTCAATCCATCAGCCCCCCCAACCACCACCAATCTTTCATGCACTCCCCAGACTCATATGGGGCAATGTGGGTTAAGTGTCTTGCCTAAGGACACAACAGACAGTTTGCAGCCACAAACGTCCTACTGTGGCCGGTGATTCGGGAGGTCTCCCATCACAGCAATGTGATGGTTTTCACATGTAGCTAAATGCATTTGAAGATGACACATTTTAAAGCTGCCTTCAAAAAGCACTGCGCTCAGAAGTTCAAAAATAATTAACCATGTCCCAATTAATCTCAACTATAACTCCATATTAAATAATGGTTTGTCATTTCCCCATTGAGAAGTTATTGCACCAAAGTACATTTGTGACATTTTTTCCTGTTTTGTTAAGCACTTTGAGTTGCTGTGTGTATGAACTGTGCAATACAAATAAAAGTTTCCTTGCCATTGCTTTGAGTTAAACAGTAAGTAGTACTAATCACACATCAGATCAGTGGAGAGGGGAGCTGACTCTCAGACAATAAACTGTAACTGTGAAAAGAGAGACAGGGAGATGGAATCTACTCTAACTAGATCAGATGTTCCAAAAATACTAATTGCATAATATTTAAAGCCCAGTCTCTAAACCTGAATATTCATATAAGCCGCTTGTGGCTCTGTATTCACTTGTGACCATTGACGCAGTGTTAGCAGCTAATGCTTTATCTGCAATTCTATAGAAGAGGTTGACCAAAATCTGTATTCAGGAGATCATTTATGACCCAAACATGAGACAGGAAAATGTCAACCAGATGGTTTGAGAGGAGCTACTTATCCAATTGGCTGCACACAGGCTTTCAGGGATATTGCTTAGGAAAGGCAGATTAGCGACAGGGCCTGGAGCTGCTGATAACAGATGCATCTGAAGCGGTTTTCTTTTTTCTTATTTTTTTTTTCTTCCACCAGCGGTTTAATTATAGCAATTTATTGGGGAAGAGAGAGAATGAAAACAGTGGAGTTTACAGTTTCAGCCTCACCTATGCTACACTATTTTTCTCGGATACATTTAGAGGACGTTAAAGGTTGGACTAAAAATAACAAACATTTGTATTTTGCCAATTTATAGGCAAAACATGGTAATCATTATAAAAAAAGCAAATGCAAATTCGGGCTCATATTGTATGCTGTTGCTGTAACATGAGATTGTCATGAAAACCAGGAAAAGTGAACTCAGGAGCTGTCCATGGTGCTGAAATATATGTGTTCTATGTTTGAATGTTTTTAGAGACTTCTTTGTGTGTGGAAAATATCAGTAGGTAGGGTACGCAACTATTATTTAATCTAACACATATTTCAGATACATCTTGTTTGTCTCAACAGAAAGAGGCTTGTAAAAATAACGAAACAGACCACCAACATTCTAACGCTATCTTTTGCGTACTTGTAAAGAAGAGCCCCGTGAGTCACTATTTGACACTTTAGGCTGAGAGACGATTGTCTGAGTGAGAATTGTCCTTCTTTTTTTTTCTTTTCTGTTTGAAAAATCCAATCTAAAGATGTGTCAGAGGCCATAAATACATACTTTACATGTGAAAACTATGAAAGAACCAAACCGATTTAGATCCATGACTATTTTGTGGTTTGAAAGTCCCTCAGCTTTAAGATAAGTACATATATACATTTTTTTCAGATGCAAAGAGAAACGAGGAAGTTGATTTAGTTGTGTAAGGATAGTGATATTAAAGCATGTCTCAAGTAGAATCATTTGCAAAAGTATTGAGCTACAAACTATTGAAACGCTGCAATCAATTATGTTGTATAATGTTAAATGGTCGAGTCAGAACAATGCATTCTTTTACACTTTACTTTAATATTCTTTTTCGTATTATTACAGTGGAAGGCATCTTGTCTTATTGCTCTTTACAAATGGGTATGACCAACTTGCATATACAACTTAAAGTGAAGCTTTAGTTTTTTTTATTGTATATTTAAATATCAAAACATATTGCTGAGATTTTAGTTAAGTAACAACTGTCACCAAAGAAAAACATATGGCCACATGTACTGTATATATATATATATGGACAACGCTAACAAGCTAGCTCAACAAAGCTAGCAGGTTTTGTTCCAACTCTCCTGTTGGCTTACATTGAAAAGGACACTCCTCAAACTGAGTAAACGTTTGTGTGACTCTCACCATTTTAGGCTTAACCAATATGTGGTTTAGCGCTGTCTGTGATCCTCATATTATGAAATTGTTTTTACATATAGATACAGACTGTAGCCATATAATGCATGACCAATCAGATACCTTCATTTGCAGGGGAAATGCCAGCTTGCTAGCAGTACCCCATGCCCTTGTTACGGCGCAAAGCTAATGCCGTCAGAACAAATGCCCATATATAGAAATTGGCTCCAGCTAGCTTATGTTCAAATCGGCTTCTTACACATTAAACGTCCCATTTTATGCTTTTTTTTTCACAGGCAGAGAACCAGACGTTTCAATAGAGCTGACATCACTTCTACGCAAGAAATGGCTGTAATTTCAAAGTGTTTTAATCTTGTATGGTGTGTCACTCAATTTACTATCACACATGTGAATAGGCTGGACCAACACTAAGATGATGTCAGCACTCAGTCAGTCCACTCCTAATATACGGTCTATGCTCATGGATTACTCCCCAACCCTGGACATAAACCATTTAGAGATGTTGTTTGAAACTTCCAAAATTCTAATCTGAACTCAACAGAAGCTTTTCTTTTATTAGTTTATGTTAATTTGTAAATGATCTACAGTATGATTTATGTTGATGTTGAACTTCTGCTTTAGCTTTAGCAATGTAAAGGCTAAAGCTGACTCAACTTGAGGGATTTAGAATTCTGCACATAATGTGTTTTTGTGTAGTTGTGAAGTGCAGGTCACACTTTGATTCACCTAAATGACTCTATGTCCATAACAAAGCAGTATTGAGTATGTGACTGGCGTATTGTTTGGATCTTCAGAATCGCCCAAACCACAGGGTCAAATCAATGGGGTAAGGTTACAACAACAGCAGTGAAGATGTCCAATCAAACATACACAGAGAGAGGCCAAGACAAACAGGCCGTCATCAAAATTCAGCACTGATTCTCTCTGAGCAGCCCCATCTTTTATCAATAGGGCTGGATAATATATATGTTCATTGCAGATCACAAGTTGTGGTATTAGCTTCATAAACTTGAATACATTGGATGAATATGTTGCAAGTAGGATTTAGTAAAACATCTTGTGTGTGTATTTTTTCCAAATAAAAAAACACTGACAGCTTTGTGCAATATAGACCTTTTAAATCTTCAAAATAGCAGACACATCCAAGGAAGGGCTTCATTGCTTATTTCATTGTTGCCATGTTGTGGATCAACAAACTGTTATGTGCTAAAAGGTAAAGGTCAGCCCACCTTACTGCCCACTGTGTAATGGACGTGAGACTTATCCATGGGAGGTATTTCTAAGTCGCTCTAGTGCACTTCCCAAGAGAGGGATTGTTGTGAAGAAAGTGATGTATGTTTCTTCACACTTCTTATTCTTGTATGTTTTTAATGGTTCATGGCAGTCTGTGCAGCTTGTCCGAACACACCTCCCCCACTTCACCCCTCAAGATTCTACTGTGACAAAACTACAGCTCAAATACTCAGCACTGACATTTTTCAGTGTTGTTGCCATGGGCAAGCATAACTAATTCAATGCCAGCGTATTGTGCTGTCACTCAAATATCTAGATTAATGTCAACAGCATGTTGGAGTTGTCCCTGATACTTTATTATTCAAAAGGTATGTTTTACCTCGTATGTAATAATCTTGTCTGTTCTAGAGCCGGTGGGAATGGACTCCCAGAACACCTCGACCTCTGAGGACGACAGAGAGCGAGCCCAAACTCTGGATGGGGCTTCAGACGGCTCTGTAAAGAGACATTACTAAAACATCACACTGTTTCACTGTTAAGAGCATACTTTCCCCTGTGGCTTGTGTCACTCACCTTCCTCAGCTGACAGCACAGTGATGGTCTGGCTGAAGGGCCCCTCTCCTCTGCTGTTGAACACGCCCACCCTCACCTCGTGCCGGGACAGGGGCAACAGGCTGTCGTTCCTGTACACATATCTGGAGGCATCAGCGGAGGCCATAACAGACTGGATCCAGGTGCTACTGTCCGAAGGCCGAAAGGCTACAATGTATCCAAAGTCTTCCCCGCTTTGCTGTTCCTCTGGAACTGGCTGAGACACACACACAAGGCCTTGGAGTCAAACAACCGTGTGAAGAAATGTAATTACCAAACTCTTCAAAGTATCGCAACAACTGTGTTTTATGTCTTAGAAACTCCAGAGAACAGAACAGCAAATACTGAATCACATCCAAAACACATCAAACTGACACCTAATGGTAGATTTACAGCTGTGAAATTTACAGTCGCAGGCAAGTCAGCTGGCAGCAAATCACAAACACTCCAATTAGAAGCACTACACAGGAACCGGGAGCAAAAGATTCTGTGAATCACTACAGCAACTTGATAACATCAGTTTTACAGATGTTCACCATTGGTGCATCGTTTTCAAACTATTTTGAGAATAAGTCATTTCCTAACACTTATATTTTAGAAGATTTATAAATGAACAGTTATAGTGTGATGAAGTTTAACAAATCCCTGAGCTCCTACCTCCCAAACAATCACCAGTTCTCCACGAGCTCCTCCACCACCACTCACGCTCAGCGGCGCCACCTTGGGAACTGCAGAGACACAAAGACAACATGCACTGAGGACCACTTGCATTTGGCGCTGATGAAAGCAGCCAGAGATGATCGCAGCTTTCCCTGTCAAGCCCCATTTACACAACACAGGTTAGCTACACAGCCAGGAATTAGCAGTGTGTTGACAAAGGCATCAGGGCTGTGCACCACACAGCTTTGACTCTGACTCCGCACGTCAGCTTGGCTTGTGTAGCTCGACAGAACACTTGTTCCAGTGCGACACAATGATTAGGATAGAATTAGTAGAATAACTGTCTCAGAACAGAAGGAAGACTTATGTCAATGAGAGTTACTTTGAAATCCAAACAAATTCATTTCCAATTTCCCCCAATCTCCCCAAACATAAACAATCCTGACAATTCAAAACAATATTGGGAAGTTAATTATAGACATTTTGTTTTCATTTACCTGAAGCTTTTGTTCGAATCTGTGTTGAGGGCAGGCTGGGCTCACCAATCCCCACACTGTTGATTGCAACCACTCTGAACTCGTAGTCCACCCAGGGACTCAGGTCCTGCACTGTGGCCTGCTGAATGTGGCCTGATACAGGGTCTGGAACTGTTTGCAGATAATCAAACTAATCAATCAAATACAATGTATTTATATGGCATTAAGAAAAGCAAAACATCACAACATATTTTTATAAAAATTTCACAGACCAGGGTTAAACAAAGCTCTTTCCAATATTGGGTCATATCCATTCACTCTAAAGTAAGATGGATTGATTGGATTTATGTCAAGCTTATAAACAGGAATCAATTAGAGAATTTACAACAATTAAATAAAATGCCACTACATGTACATGGATCCTGCGACGATCCTTTCACTCATTACACACATACCTTTTGTGCACTTGTATAGTTTCTAGATTACATTTTTTATTATCGAACCTGTCGAACAGATAAGGGTTGGGTGTTTGATTCCAACCCCATCACACATGCCACACAAATGTCTTATACCATAGGAGGTATTAGACAAACATATATAAGACAGACAATACACACACACACAGACACACAAAAACACACTCAGAAAACACATCCAAAACATTCTCTGACCCAACACACTTCAGATTCTAGTGTGAATAAAAAACGGGAGAAAGTTAAGCCAAGACTAAACTTCTGAACCAAAATCTGGACTGATTTACTCCAAATGGACATTACCATCAATGACAGTGTTGTATTCTTACCAGTGCGGACACTCTGCCAGCCAATGGAGAATGGAGTCCTGGCTTGCACCATGTATGTTGTGACTGGGCTGTGGTTGTCTGGCCCAGCCTCCCACAGCAGCTGCACTGTTGAATCGGTGATGTCGCTCACCACCAGGCCCTGTGGCGCGCCTGGAGGTCCTGTATTTTTCACAAACACAATCAGTTTAGCGAGCCTAGTCCCACCCCATAGTGAAGATATAAAGTAGGCTATGGGGGGGAAAGAAACAACAGGTCCACCACCAACGACAGGAGCCAACCAAGTACTGTAACTAAATCAACACCCTTCTGTGGATTTGTAAACAAAATAATTAACATGCAACAAGCGAAATTTGCAAAGTAGTAGCTTATTGTTTGAAATTGTGTACACTTTTCTATCCACCTGAACTCACAACTTCTGAAGGACGATTACAGAGATCAAACCTGTTGGTTGTAGGTCTGAGTGTTGCTGCAGCTGTCAAAAGCTGTGCATACTCTGTAAAATACAGCTGCAGAGGACACCGTGCTAAGGGGCAGGAGCAGGAGCTACGCAAAGACTGTAGTGATTTCTGTGGCGCACACAAGCCACACAAGTTTTCTTTTGACTTTAATTAAAAGTAACTGTCATGTTATACTCATGGGTATATGATGAAGTAAAAAACCAAAAAAGCGAGCAAAATAACACACAAATCAGCAAAACAACGATGCAGCGAAAGATGCTATAGCTAAGTTATTTTATCCAGTCCCAGTGCAAGCTTCCACAGAGGCCTGAAAAGAATGACTTGAAAGCATCATTTCTGATAAAAGTGATGTTGAAAAAGAAACAAGGTGATGAATTTCCAAAAACATCTTATGAATAAAAAAGTCGTTCTACTTTACTGTACTAAGATAAATTGTTACTTCTACTGGTAGCAGAAGTATAACAATATTAATGAGCTGGGCGATCCAAAACAAGGCTAGGGTTTTCAGGTGGGATCTGAATCAAATGATGTAAACCAACACCAGATAAAATATACACGATGCAGTATGAGACTTTTGGCAAAGAATAACGTGAGCTCTGTACTCTCGGCGGGATGCCAGCTGTGATCTAGATTAGAAAATGACATATTCAAATGCTTTGGTATTTTGCACTTTATTACTGTCATAAACAAATGTTAAGTTTGATGCTTAAAACATTACATAAAAAGTATTACATATGAATTGTTTCCTTCCTTAACAAAGATAATGTATTCTATACTTCAATTTTTCAAAACGTATTCCCTGTATTCTGTGCATTTGGCACTAAGTACCAAACAAGATCTTTAATAATCATTGCTTCCCAAAACGAAACTAAAAATATCATGTATTGCATTGTCATGAACAACATATTTGAAATTGTGTGTATGATATAATATTTTGTTGTTAAAACAGAACATTTCTGAGGTTATGAAAGAGTTTGATTCACAGATTAAGTTAAAAACAGATAATTGCAGTAGTTGAATTTCAGTGGAGTGGACCTCACCCTGTACTCCAAACGTTATAGATTTGCCTCATCTCAACTTACAGAAGGTGTTCATAAATATGAAATTAATTTGAGCTTCAAAGGTCCTTTTTAGAGTTAGTGAAGAGCTTGGAAAGTTATTCAGAGTCTTATTTTTACATGAAGCAGTCCTGTGATCTTTCGGCTTTGCCTTCAAGAGTTACCTATGAGTATGAAGTCAAACAGCTCATCACTCTGTCACAGGCTCATTCAAGTCCATCTCCAGCCACGCACACATCTCACTCACACACTCTCATCTGATTGAGAATAGACCATCTATACAAACCAAGACCAAACTTGTATACACCAGATGATTTATACCAGATGATCTATACAAGTCTATTTTCAAAGATAAAAAGTAGACGGAAACATGCAGGGCAAAATATCCTGGATTGTCTTTGAGTTTGTTGCTATTGTTTTCTTTTAAGCGCTTTATATTATGAAGGTATTTTGAGCAAATTGTTATTCTATCAAGAATGGGTTTCAGTAATGTTTATTAGTTGGGCTTGGATTATCCCTCCGGGGATAAATAAAGTGCACATTAAAACAAAACTGGACCAAAGGTAAAGAAGGTCGAGTGGAGTATACCTTTCGCAATTATTACTGGGAAAGGTCTGGGGCCTCATAAAAATTTGATTAGGGCCGCATGTGGCCCCAATTCGCAGTTTTCACTGGCCTGATCCATACAAAGCTGTATAGATGGACAGTGGTCCAAAAGGCAAGGGCCACATAAGAACATCTGGTTGTGGGGACATGGATTGTCACCTCACGAGGGGAGTAGCCAGAGGTCGACTACCTCTAGATACCGACTTTATGTAGTCGACTCACCTCCGGTCACAGCTCAGGCTCTGGAACCAAACTCCTTGAGAGGATTTCTCCTTCTCTGTTGGTCACGTATTTATAATTGAACTCATGTAAGTAAGTAAGTAAGTAGGTAATCTTTATTTATATACCGCCTTTCACAGACCAGACTCACAAAGCGGTTCACAATTTGTTATTTTTTTGGGCATTTGTGATCTTCGCTGTACATGCACTAAGTACCAAACAATAACCTCACTGACTCAAAGATGTCCTACTTTTTCCATGTGTCATTTATTCAGTCTCTGCTCAGTGTCTCTGCTCAGACTACAGCCTCTGTCACCCGGCAATGGATAAAGCGGAATCAATTGGATGGATGGATTTCTGATAAAGTAATCCATTCAGTGGAATACAAATACCTGTATTTGAAAAGTGCACACTCAAAGCAGTATCAAAGCATTACCTCTGACAATCACATCTGCTGCGGCTGAAACTGTGTCCAGATCTGTATGGACCATGCAGACGTATTTCCCAGAATGCTTCAGCTGGATGTTTCTAACCATAAGGTCACCGGCAAATCCCTGAGGACAAGAAGGGAGAAAAATGTCAACATAGTTAAAAGGTGTATCTCTATAGTCCTGGAAATGACTCAGTCGGAGCGACCAAAGGCTGGCAGAGGGAAAAAGCAGTTTAGGAAAAACAAATGACTGCAGGTTTGCATTGTGTGGAAGTGAACAGAAAGATGAGTGGCTTTGAAACACTTTCTACGACCAGTCTTTGTTGTGTTCATACATTCAGATAAATAGCATGAGTTGAAGCTTTCCTTTTGCATCCTTATTGATGTTGTTGTACAAAAGCCGATGTTTGGGTGAAAAAATGTGTTTCTTTGTGCAGCAGTAAGCATCGTAGTGATTACGTTGGCGGTGGAAATGTCAGTGTTACACAAGGCCAGGAATTCTGGCAGTGAGGCATACATCTTGTAATAGCTCTGATTTGTTGAGGGAGATATTGATTGATTTGTGTGTACACAAAGTTCACCTCCAGGCCTATAAATGTCATGGTTGTAGTATGCCTTGTATGACTATTAACACAATAGTATACATAAGCATAGGCTTATTTTTGAGAACACATCATGTTCTACTGTAGATGAACTGTTTAACTCTGTCACCTCTAGTGTGTTGAATGTTCTGGACGCCATTGCCCCTGTGAAGGTAATAATGGTCACAAATAAGCAAAAAGCCCCATGGATAAAAGCAGGCCCGGTCAGGGCACAGAAGCAAGAGTGCCGGAGAGCAGAGAGAAAGTGGAGAAAGTCCAACCTCCAGGGTGATTATAAACTCTTAAAAGAGAAGTTGTGTGAGTTTAACAGAGTACTACGTAGAACAAGAGAATTATACTTTTCTGAAACTATTGAAGGCTGCAGCAATAATCTGCGTGTTCTATTTTCAACAATCAATAGATTAACGAACCCCCCTGTTGAGTTGCCATTAGAACACTACTCCAAATCCAGGTGTAATGAGTTTGCACAGTTCTTCAGAGACAAGGTTCAGGGTATCAGAAATACCATCACCTCTACAACACAAGTAACAATGCAACATCCAGTGAGGCTTTGTGAGCTAGCTCAATTTGCACCTGTCAATGATGAAACTGTTAAAAAGATAATCACAGGTCTTAGTTCCTCTACCTGCAGTCTGGATGTACTACCTCCTAGATTTCTGAAGTCTGTTATGTGTAGTCTATTACCCTCATTGACACAAATAGTAAACATGTCTTTTTTATCTGGAACATTTCCAATGGCCCTGAAAAAGGCAGTCATCAGGCCCCTCCTAAAAAAGAGCAGTTTGGATGCTGCGGTACTTGAAAATTACCGTCCCATCTCAAATCTGCCATTCATGGGAAAAATTCTTGAAAAAGTTGCCTACCAACAACTTACTGAATTTTTAATATCTAATGACTCATTTGACATGTTTCAGTCTGGCTTTAGACCACACCACAGTACTGAGACCGCTCTAGTCAAGGTAACAAATGATATTCGGCTTAACACTGATGCAGGAAAAGTCTCTGTTTTAGTCATGTTAGATCTGAGTGCCGCTTTCGACACCGTTGACCATGAGATTCTCATGCAGAGACTGGAGGACTGGGTTGGTGTTGCTGGTACTGCCCTAAGCTGGTTTAGGTCCTATCTAGAAGAAAGGAAGTATTGTGTGGAGATTGGAGACTATGTCTCAGATAATATGGCCCTGACCTGCGGAGTGCCACAGGGGTCGATTCTGGGACCTCTCCTGTTCAATATTTACATGCTGCCATTAGGTCAGTTAATTCAAAGTATGAAAGTGTCCTACCACAATTACGCTGATGACACTCAGATCTATGTCTCACTGACTGCAGGAGAGCATGGACCGGTGGACTCACTCCTTCACTGTATCCAGCGGATCAGTGAGTGGATGCAATGCAATTTTCTCCAGCTAAATGCGGACAAAACCGAAATGATTGTCTTTGGTCCCGAGAAACAAAGAGAGACCGTCATTTGTCACCTTCAGTCTCTCTCCCTAAGGCCTTTAAATAAGGTCAGAAATCTGGGAGTAATAATGGACTCTGACTTAAACTTCAATAGCCACATTGGATCGGTAACATCAGCAGCTTTTTATCATCTGAAAAATATTGCCAAAATTAAAAATATTGTGTCCAGGGCAGACTTGGAGATTCTTATCCATTCTTTTGTTTCCAGTAGGCTGGATTACTGCAATGGCCTGCTCACAGGTATCTCCAAACATGCAGTAAAACAGCTGCAGTATATTCAAAATGCTGCAGCCCGAGTCCTGACTAGAACCAGGAAGTACGACCACATTAGTCCGGTCCTCAGGTCTCTGCACTGGCTTCCCGTGGCCCAGAGGAAGACTTTAAAGCAGCTCTCCTGGTGTACAAGTCTCTCCATGGCCTTGCACCAAAGTACATCCATGATATGCTAGTCCCATATGAACCAGCCCGGACTCTGAGGAGCGCAGGGACGGGACTCTTGTTAGTGCCCAGAGTCAGGACTAGACAGGGGGAGGCTGCTTTTCAGATCTATGCAGCTAAAGTCTGGAACAGTCTTCCTGAGGATGTGAGACTGGCTGCCTCTCTGTCAATGTTCAAATCCATGTTAAAGACTTTTCTTTTTTCCTGTGCATACAACTAGAGAATTTTATCTTTTTAACACACCTTGTTATTTATTGTTGTAACTTTGTGTTTTTAACTATTTTATTGTTTTTAATTACTTGTGTGATTCTTATGTTTTTAAATTACTTATGTGATTTTAATGCTTTTTAATTACATATGTGTTTTTAATTGTATTTTAATGGTGATGATTTGTGCATTGTGTGGTGTGGACTGTGAGGCGCTTTGTGTTGCCCTGTGCAGGAAAAGCGCCCTATAAATAAAGATTGATTGATTGATTGATAGGCGGTAGAGCCAAATGAATACAAAAATGTCTCCTAAATGTATTATAAGGAAGGATCTACTGTGCTGTGGGAACTGTAAGTTTAGATACACAGTGTAAAAAAACATGGAAAGGCAAAGCAAGTTCATACACAAGGAAACTCAATGTGCTTAACAGAACAAGAAACATTAAAATAATAGATAATTATAGTGCATTAAAAAGAGTAAAGAAATACAGGCGTCAAACCTGCAACTAAATTATCTGTGTAGGTTGTTTTTCTTACACAACGGCCTTAACCCTATTTTTGGTGTGGGCCTCAAACCCATCCATCCATCCATCCAGAGAGATGGTAATGCAGCTTTAATTTGAGTATATTCGGACTGTCTTAAAACAAGATTTGCCAATGGAACAAACCGGTTTGTCACCAACCTTTTCTCATTCCAAGAGAGACATTGTAATGAGCACATTGGCAAATCTTGTTCAGATTCAGATTCAGTTTATTTTCCATTTGCAGTAAAAAAAACCACATTGGAATACATTAGTAAAAATTAGTAAAACATTGTTTTAAGGGAATGAAAAAGCTCTCGAATTAAGATACATTTTTCATTTTTTTTTTCTCCAGTGATCAGCTTTTTTATCGCTTTTTGGGGCGATCAGTGATTACAGTATTAAAACCAAACAAAAGCATGGATAGGAATCTCCAAGTCTGATGTAGAGCCTATACATTTTTGATTCTGGCTAAGTTTTTAAAAAGGTAATACGCTAATGATGTAACTGATTTCATGTGGCTATTATAATTGACCCAGTTTCAGGGAGTGAGACCGGATGTGACAGATAATGCTCTCTCTTTGTTTCTGGGGACTAAAGACAATCATTTCAGTTTTATCTGAGTTTAGCTGAAGAAAGTTGATGTTGTTCACTGATGTGTTGGACGCGGTGAAGGAGTGAGTCCACTAGTCCATGTCCTGATGCAGCCAGTCAGACAAAGACATAAATGAAAACACTGTCTAAATATGTTTACATTAATCCCATATACAAACAAATGAAATCATGTATTTATACATATGTAAATCTCAAGGTTCCACTGAATGTTAATTTATATAAGCCCATACATGAGGGAAATGTTGTAATATATTTCTTCATACAAGCCCTCACTTACTAAAACCAAAACCATTGTGCCCAAATGACAATCACAAAAAGAGTATGTAGCAGCTCTCAGCCACATTACACCTACCCCTCCGATCATTTCAAAGTGCTCCTGCCGGCTGAAATCAATGGGCTTGCCGTTGAAGAACCACTTGAAACTCAAACTCAGAGACAGGTCACTGGACACTTCACAAGGCAAAACCAAACTCTGTCCCAGTGTGGCATCCAGGCTCAATGGAGGAACAATTATCTTAGTTGGGTCTGTAAGAAGAGAGAGAAATTGATCATCTTTAGTCCGAATAGTTCTTATAAGTCTGCTAGAGTAAGCTAAAGAAATTAAGGTAATGGTGCCTAATTTGGCCGAGATAGCAAGCCTATCAGGGTAATTAAGTGGGCTTAAATAAGTTCTCCTCGGAAGCCCGAAGAACACATAAGTCAATCATGAATATTTAAAGAGTGCATTAACAAAGGCACATTTAGCCAGTCACTTCGAGAAACGCAACAGCAGCTCTTTTATATTAAGCACCAGTGACAGAATTTTTTTCAGCTCCAGTTGCGATCCCTGACGCTGCCACAGGAACAATAACTCACCGCTGACACAGGCACAGATGACTTATACATCTGTCAAAGCTGCGTAAAACCACTGTGAATTTCATTATTCATTTCATGCTTGACTTGGTATTTTTCACTTTTAAAGTTTCAATCCAGAGCCATACTATAACAGCAGCCTGCGTGTGCACAAGACTGAATGTCAAAAACGGCAGCGAGATATTTTCAGTGCACAATTACTCACTGGCACATTCTGTGTGATAAATAAGGCACTTCCTGGAGCAGGATTGGTACAGCATGAAGACAGGTAGGACGTTTTGGGTAAGATACAAATATCCAGTTTCAGAATGGTGAAAAGCAGGGACACACCAGATACATCTATTGTTGTTTGAATTGGAAGAATACTGAAAGTGATAATATTCTGAAAATGATAGCAGCTAAAATGGAGGCTGTACATTGAATTGTATAAAACACAGCTTCATAATATGTAAATGTATTGGGGAATAAATACTGTAACACCCATTCTGAGCCACTATTGCACTGCAAAAAGTAATCAGATATGAGTAAAAAAGCCCACATTTGGCTAAATGTGTCTTAATTTTAACACATTTTGACAGCCTTAAAACAAGTTAAATTTGTCCTATTTGCCAAAAGGATGAGCAAAATTGTCTTGTCTTAAAGAGATACAAGAAATGTCTCACTTGGAATGAGAAAATAAAGCCACATTTCTTGGAATAAGACTAAATGGCTTGTCCTATTGGCAAATCTATTTACAGTTAGAAAGTACTCAAATTAAAATAAAATAAAACATTATTACCTCATATTTGATCATTGTTTGCAGTGCACTAAATGAAGTGGTCTGCAACTTCTGCATTTGCTAGTATACATACTTCACACAACAGTATTTCACTTACCCTTGACCACTACTGTCCCTGTGCTGCTGGCTGAACCAAAGTGGTTCCTGGCCACACAGGTGTACCTCCCTGCGTCAGACTGTGTGATGTTAGTGATCCGCAGAGACCCATCCTCCATGATCGTCTGTCTGGAAAGGGAGAAAGGCTGAAATGGCAAATCTCTTTTTTTTTTTACTCCTCCAATCGTCAGTCAATTGAAAAAAAAGTGTGTTAATAAGAAGCAAATTAACAGTGTCCTTCCTTAGATATGGCCACATCTCTCAGTTTATTACCCATTTTCTACAGCTTCTAGAGTGCCTCCAAAATCTATTCTGAAAGACTGTTTGCACGCCTCAGAAGATAACAATTATCTTAAGTGAAGCAGAACGGAATTTGCTGTGGGGTCAGCATTTATTGACAGCACAATGGTTCTAACACACATATTCCTTTAAAACACAAGAGTGGGCAGTGATGGGCAGAACAGGGGACTGGGGGGTGGCAATGGAAAAGGTAAACCATATCACTCTACAACACAAGGGCATAATAGAATTAGGACACTATGAAACACACAAGAATAAACCGCTTGAACCATGATCGGGAGCTGGACAGTACATTGACAATTTGAGGCACCTGATCGTCTCATCCTCTGCCTGCTCCTCCTGCAATGACAAAAAGGCCACCCCCCACCTAAAACACATATCAAAAAGGTGCATGTGTAGTTCCTGAATCCCAGTGTCCAGACTATAGGCTGCTTCAAACGCACACCACACAGTTTATGCCAAGAGTGTCAAACTGGTTCCAGACGGGGCGGTGTGGCTGCAGGATTCCATGCCAACCAAACAGAAGCACGCCAGACTCCATCCATTTCCACAAGTGAGTCCATTCTTAACCTGGACACTGGGATTCAGGAACTACACATGCATGCTCCAATCTGATATATGTTTTAGCTGGGGAGTTGCCCACGTTGTCATTGCAGAAGGAGCAGCCAGAGGATGAGATGATCAGGTCATTCTCAGGTTTTATAATTATTTACAATTTTGGAATTACTCCAGCCAAAGCTGTTGAATTTCTGCAGAAAGCATTTGAAGTGGTTCAGCACACTCTTCTGCACCTAAAACTTGTCCTCAATTCTGACAAGACAAAATTAATGTTGTTTTAAAACACTAAAAAAGGACCTCAAACTGTTCCTACGCTATCCACACTAGCGGGAAATGTCATAGAGATCAAATACCTTGGTTTCTTGCTTGACACCATCACTTTCAAATCCTATGTTCAGCTCCAACTATGATTGGGCTTCCTTTTTTTGGAAATATTTTTTGTGAAAAAGCGGCTTATTACTGCAACATTTTTATCTATTTTAGATTATTGAGACCAGATATAGTACGTACATGAATGCCTCAACTCAAAGTCTCCATCAGATTGACACTTTGTATCATGCTTCTCTGGGGTTCATGAATAACTGTAAAGCCTTGACTCACCACTGTGCATTGTATTCTCGATTGGGATGGCCTTCTTTGTCCATCAGAAAGTTTGGACACTGGTGCACTTTTGTTTATAAGGCTATGCTTGGTCTGCTGCCTTCTTACATCTGCAATTCTGTAATTGTATGTAACTTTTGTCCAGCACTTGATCGAAAAAGAGTTTTTTAATCTCAATGGGACTTTCCTGGTCAAAGAGAGGTTAAATACAAAAAGGTGCCTCAATACACAATGTATTCTCCAGATGTCCCGCTTCAAGAGCCCTGTGAGACAGCCCTCCGACAGTCCCTGTTGGTCTGTCACAAAAAAGAATCCATTGCAACATGACAAAACGTCCACTGTATAGACCTATACCAGGAAGATGTGACTGTGAAAGGCGCTATATAAGATAATATATACTGCCCTTTGGATTCACATCGATGTATGCAGCGAGCAGTCGCCTTAGAAATCAAACAATTTTACATCAGCCCCACGAATAACTATGTATCCAGCAGAATCGAGTGCAGGCCTAGAGAGCATGTCTGACACATGGCGCTTTTGGTTGATTTATTGACACAAAAAAAATCAAACACTGAGTGATGGAGCCATACTGAGAAGATGACCCGAAGGCCAATCAGCTGCAAAACATAAGAAACTATCTGCTTTACAGATGGAACTCACATAGCAAATTGCTTTTCTTGTTCTAACACTATTCTTGGCCAATTACTGGGTGATTTGAGCTGTTTTCCTTGTGAGCAGACACAGAAAATATGTCAAAAAATCAATCCTATACAGTGCACATGTTGAAGCAGGTTTATTCAGTTGGTCAGTCTATGGAAATGTGGTATCTGGGAAAGGATACAAGGAATAAAAAGGCCTCATGCATTGTAACGAATACTTTACAGGCTCACATCCGGTGAACTGTGTTTGTTTAATTTGTTGAAACTCTATGAGCTCATAGAATCATAGACTTAACAGAAGGCTTACATAATGACTACATTTATCTAATTAGCTGTCAGTTATATATTTTGTAATAGGGGTTTACGGGGGGGAGGGCAAATCTTATCCCAATAGCTTCTACTGCATGCCTACTGCTGTATAGAGAATGATAAAACAAAATATGAGTGGAGGCAAACCTAGCTTACTACTAAAAGCTAGATAAAACAAGGTGACAATGCAGTTTAGAAGAACATTTAAGGTGAATACACATTTGAATGCATTGACCTTAACAGGTTCGGGGTGCTCTTATTTCAAAACTGACACAACAAGCACTTTATGAAAGCTGATTCCTCTCAGTGCTTAGATATAGGTATTGCTTGTTCAGTTCATTTCTACTGAGGCTGAGGATTCTGACCTTAAATCATGACAGAGAAATGAAAGCCACAGTCTGGCAACGGATGCTTAGAATTTAATACCACATTAACTTTGTAATATTTTCTAATGTACCATGCTTTCTTGTTCTTATTTAATTCTGTAATAAGGCTCCAGACTGGATTTGGAACTTCAGTGTTTAATAGCTCACAACAGAGGAGGTGCCCAGTGCTGGTTACTGTGTGAAAAGCAAAAAGAAAACTGCCAAAAAAAATAAAAATACTCCCCCTCAGGCTTTAGTGGTACGAGATGTGCAGGGTCATGATTTAAGGTCAGAATCCTCAGCCTCAGTAGAAATGAACTGAACAAGCAATACCTATATCTAAGCACTGAGAGGAATCAGCTTTCATAAAGTGCTTGTTGTGTCAGTTTTGAAATAAGAGCACCCCGAACCTGTTAAGGTCAATGCATTCAAATGTGTATTCACCTTAAATGTTCTTCTAAACTGCATTGTCACCTTGTTTTATCTAGCTTACTATACTAAAAGCTAGATAAAACAAGGTGACAATGCAGTTTAGAAGAACATTTAAGGTGAATACACATTTGAATGCATTGACCTTAACAGGTTCGGGGTGCTCTTATTTCAAAACTGACACAACAAGCACTTTATGAAAGCTGATTCCTCTCAGTGCTTAGATATAGGTATTGCTTGTTCAGTTCATTTCTACTGAGGCTGAGGATTCTGACCTTAAATCATGACCCTGCACATCTCGTACCACTAAAGCCTGAGGGGGAGTATTTTTATTTTTTTTGGCAGTTTTCTTTTTGCTTTTCACACAGTAACCAGCACTGGGCACCTCCTCTGTTGTGAGCTATTAAACACTGAAGTTCCAAATCCAGTCTGGAGCCTTATTACAGAATTAAATAAGAACAAGAAAGCATGGTACATTAGAAAATATTACAAAGTTAATGTGGTATTAAATTCTAAGCATCCGTTGCCAGACTGTGGCTTTCATTTCTCTGCTCTGTTTGCAACAACAGTAATTAGCACTGGTTTGCTTTTAGGCACTGGTGGATTTTCTAAAAGCTGCTTATGGAACTGTTAATCCTATAATACAACCCAGAACTTAACATGGTGTTGACAAAAAGAAAAGAACAAAGGAATTATATTGATTTTTGTGTGCCTTGTGTCAAAACTTGTCATCATTCTGTGTAGCAAGAGATTTTGTGAAGCAAAATCATGACTGAGGTACGACACATGATCAATCCCATCTTTATAGCTCACAGATATGACCCAGACTTAAAGGAGACATATTATGCATTGTTTTATCAAATTAAATACTACAATGGGACTATATACTTTGTCACTTCATGTTTTAGAATGTGAAATAAAATCTTATGTTGAAAAAAATTGGTAAATCAAGAAGGATACACAATGATTACTGCCTGTAACTGCGTATGCTACCACCAGAGGGAGGAGTTTATTTCCTATTTTTCCAAAAAAAAAAAAAAAAACGGCCTCAACACAGCATTGTGATTATAAAGAATGCCATTTTACCTGAGCAAAAGACAAAGATAGTTTAACGGTAGAAAAACTGCTCTAAATGTGATGTCATAGCGGCACAATGACATCATACTGTAACAGGACTGAGCCAGCAACTTATAGACAGAAGGGTTGTGTGTGAGTGTGTGTTATTAATGTGTATGGATCTAAAATCAACGTCAGGTCTGTTTGTGATGAAGGAACAATATTGTAACGTGGTTAAGAAGTCAAAAAAAGTTGATTTTGCATAATATAATATAATAAATAATTATAAATCTTTCTCTTATGTATTTTTTTGACACTCAAAGATGCTTTACACAAAGACAGGTTCAAATTAAACAAAAATAAATAATAAAACGCTGTATGTCTCCATGATTATCCAGCTGTACCTCTGTGTGTCTTTAAGCAGTTGGCCCCATCTCCACCAGAAGACCAGAGCCCGCGGGGAGGCAGAGGGACGGCACTCCAGGATCAGCTCTCCTCCCTTCTGTACCACAGTGGACTTCCTCACGGGCCGATGGGAAAAGTCCGGAGGGGAGGCTGAAGCACCAAACAACGGTGAAACCATTCATTTTTGATTTGCCTGAATTATTTAGATTTTGATGCTTTAGAACTTGAACTAATGAGTCTGCTTAGAAAATAAATCCTCAGCGGGCTAAAATAGACTTCCACAGATGTCTATGGGTAGCAGTGCCAATTAAAATGTCCAAAATAAGCCATTTCAAGTACGTTAACAAATGTTCATGTAAGCTCAGATTTGTCTTGAAAGCTATTTGACATTTGTGGTATAGTGCACGTGTGGTATAGTACGTGTGTGGCATAGTACATGTGTGGCGGAGTACGTGTGTGGCAAAGTACGTATGTGGCATAGTACATGTGTGGCGGAGTACGTGTGTGGCAAAGTACGTATGTGGCATAGTACATGTGTGGCATAGTACATGTGTGGCATAGTACATGTGTGGCATAGTACATGTGTGGTATAGTACATGTGTTTCATAGTACATGTGTGGTATAGTACATGTGTGGTATAGTACATGTGTGGCATAGTACGTGTGTTTCATAGTACATGTGTGGCATAGTACATGTGTGGCATAGTACATGTGTGGCATAGTACATGTGTGGCATAGTACATGTGTGGTATAGTACATGTGTGGCATAGTACATGTGTGGTATAGTACATGTGTTTCATAGTACATGTGTGGCATAGTACATGTGTTTCATAGTACATGTGTGGCATAGTACATGTGTGGTATAGTACATGTGTGGCATAGTACATGTGTGGCATAGTACATGTGTGGTATAGTACATGTGTGGTATAGTACGTGTGTTTCATAGTACATGTGTGGTATAGTACATGTGTGGCATAGTACGTGTGTGGCATAGTACATGTGTTTCATAGTACATGTGTGGCATAGTACATGTGTGGCATAGTACATGTGTGGCATAGTACATGTGTGGCATAGTACATGTGTGGTATAGTACATGTGTGGCATAGTACATGTGTGGTATAGTACATGTGTGGTATAGTACGTGTGTTTCATAGTACATGTGTGGTATAGTACAAGTGTGGCATAGTACGTGTGTGGCATAGTACATGTGTGGCATAGTACATGTGTGGTATAGTACATGTGTGGCATAGTACGTGTGTGGCATAGTACATGTGTGGCATAGTACATGTGTGGTATAGTACGTGTGTGGTATAGTACGTGTGTGGCATAGTACATGTGTGGTATAGTACATGTGTGGCATAGTACATGTGTGGTATAGTACGTGTGTGGCATAGTACGTGTGTTTCATAGTACATGTGTGGTATAGTACATGTGTGGCATAGTACATGTGTGGCAAAGTACATGTGTGGCATAGTACGTGTGTGGTATAGTACATGTGTGGTATAGTACATGTGTGGCATAGTACATGTGTGGCATAGTACATGTGTGGCATAGTACATGTGTGGCATAGTACATGTGTGGCATAGTACATGTGTGGTATAGTACATGTGTGGTAAAGTACATGTGTGGCATAGTACATGTGTTGTATAGTACATGTGTGGTATAGTACATGTGTGGTATAGTACATGTGTGGCATAGTACATGTGTGGCATAGTACATGTGTGGCATAGTACATGTGTGGCATAGTACGTGTGTGGTATAGTACATGTGTGGTATAGTACATGTGTGGTATAGTACATGTGTGGTAAAGTACATGTGTGGCATAGTACATGTGTTGTATAGTACATGTGTGGTATAGTACATGTGTGGTATAGTACATGTGTGGCATAGTACATGTGTGGCAATGTAGCTTTATATGAAATGTATAAACCATGTGATTGTTCATATCCATTTCAAAAGTCAATACAGATTATGTTGATAAAGGAATAAAGTCATTTTACTTTTCTTTCATCTCAGGTTTTTTTATAATGTTTGAAATGTCTATAGTACGATCTTACCAACGACCTTGAGCTCCGCACTGGCATACACAGCTCCCAAGTCGTTCTCCGCCACACACTGGAACATGCCTGCGTCTGATAGACTGATTCTAGAGATAGACAGAGTCCCAGATTCAACATGGTGTCGGCCCTGGAAAAAAGTACAATTAGGTTATACAAATCTAAAAATACAAATATTTACTTGGCAACAGCATTTGCATAGTTATAACAATCTTATACTTTTTTTATTTTAAGTATTCATTTGTTCCTTTCATGAGAATGCTTGGTCATTATGGTACTGTTTAAATGTGCAGTTACAATATTATCACTATTACATAATTTAAACATGTACATGAGCAGATGAGACAAACACAAATCTTATGTTTGTCTGCCTTTTCAGATGCACACAGAGCATACCTGTGATGACAAAAGAAGTCCATTCTTGAGCCAGCGGTATGTTGGCCTGGGCTTCCCCAGGGCCTTACATTCCCACTGCAGGTTTGTGTCAATAGCCATCTGTGTGTCTTTAATAGACTGGGCCCAGTGGAGATGTTCCAGATCTGTTGAGATGAACAATTTCTCAGTATGGAAATGTAATACAGTTTTTCCTCTGTCTAATCTTTATCTGTTTAGAAGTTTAGAATAGAATATTCAAATCATTTTGAAGCTAGTTATTCAAACCTTTGTTTAAACAAAATAAGTAATGTACCATAGAATAAGAGTTGGCCTCTGGCGGCGTTTCGACCTCTGCTGTTCTGGGCCACACACTCGTACACACCCGCATCTTCAGGGCGAAAGTATGGGATTTCCAGGACCCCGCTGGAGTGGTTGATTTTAATCTTTCCAGGGAGTGGGTTTCCGTCAGCTCTTCTCCACGAGATGGACGGCACTGGGCTGTGGAGGTCACAGTGGAAGGTCATCCACACCTCAGTTGAAACAAAAGCTGTCCACACACTTTGTCATAAGAAGACACTTACTTTCCTAAGGCAAAGCACTCCAACTTAACGGAGGATCCCTTTGAGACACGGAGAGTCTCAGGGAAACGCACCTCGATCTTTGGTTCGTATTCCCCCATAACAGCTGCGTAACAAATGAAACAACATCTGTAAATGCACACGGATCGGCCAATCAATATTCAGAGCACTTTTTCACCTATTTTAACAAGCAAATCTAATCCTGAAAGTCACTCTGCAAATATGAACTATGATCTTAATCCTTTATAACAATGAAACAAAAACAAAAGCAAAAAAAATAAATTCAGAGTTGCAGGATTTATTTACTGTGTTAGATTCTTGAGCACATGAGTCAAACACGAGGCCTGCGGGCCGTTTTTGGCCCTTTTTAGAGCCCCCTGTACTGATTTTGAAATATTGCGATTATCTTGCAGCATCGATGGTAATATCTTAGTATGGCTACCATGGCTTGTTATACCTTATAATCATCTCAGGATGACCAACCGCATCATTTATTTTAGTCTACAATTTGAACACAACATGTTATGAAATATAAAAGGTCAAAGATTCATCCGTGTACAATTGCAAGCCTTCTTTACCTACGGTTCATTCCAAACAAACCAAAACTAAGTTATATGAAAAATAATATCCAACCCCATGTTAATACAAGTATTCCTTTTTTTTTTTAAACCTTTAAAATGTGAAAAAAACCACAGAAGCAAAGGATGAGCTTAAACAACATTTCTGCTAATAAACCTTTCCCGAACAGCTCTTATATTATAAATTCAATCCCCAACCAAAATGAGTCTGATGACCCTCTTCTTGACCATACACCAACCAAAATCCATGCAGTATGATTAAATACCATTTATTTATCATTCCCATGTTCTTCTATTTGTGGCTATTGAGACTTTAATCCCTTTTGATGCATACATTTCTGTTTGACATTCTGCAGAGGTTAGAATCCGAGTGACTGTCAGGCCCAGTGAACAGTTCTGATGATGTGGTACACAAAAGCGGATGGATGAGTTCAGATTACTTCTCAGCCTCTGCTTGGGAAATCGATAAGCATAAACTATTCTGACAGAAAAGCCACTCCGTCTCTGCTTAACCAAATGTGTGCTTTCATGCTTGTAGGTATGCTTTCTTGCATATCCAACTCTTTATATTTCAAATGGGTTTTTACGGGTCCAAAAGACACAGCAAAAGTACAAACAGTCAAACGGAGATGGCAGGTCATTTATCTCCCCTTCTCTCCGCGTGTCTTGTGCTCGCTCACCGTCTCTGCGCAGGACCACTGGTGTGGGGGAGCTGAGGACGCTGGTGTTGGTCATGATGTTCCTCACGGCGCACGTATAGTTTCCCTCGTCGGACCACTCCACTTTGGCGATGTACAAGTTTCCTGTTCGCTGCGAGACAAAACGCCGGGCATCCTGCTGCAGAAAACCCCGGCGGCCGTTGAAAACCCACGAGTATTTGATCTCTGCAAAACATCAAATGTACATCATAACAGACTGAAAGTTTGTAATCGTTCATTTGCATTTTATACTTGCTCCTCATTATGCTAAAGTCAGGGGTTTTTGTACTTAAGTCTAGCGTCTTCATGATGCTAAAGTCGGGGATTAAGATTTCTTTCCTTATTATGCTAAAGATAGAGATTTTATGCTGCCTCTTTATATGCTTGAGTTAGACATTTTATTTTGTTGTTATTATATATTAGTATAGAGTTATTATAATTTATTCCTCATTCCTACTGTTTTGTAACTTGTGATGCAACACTGAAATTTCCCCACTGTGGGACAAATAATGGATCTCTTAATCATAATCTCAACTCGTTCATTGTCTTTTCTGATGGTTAAAGATGATAGTTCCTGACTGTTTGTTTATTTAAAAAAAAAGTTTGTTTGTTCCAACAGAAAGACAAAGAACCCAACATACTGTATTTGTCTTTTCATAAAACAAGCTAATGTTTGTATACTTGTGAGAAAGAACCCTGTGAGTCACTATTTGACACAGGGCTTAGAGCTGATTGGCTGAGAGGGTGGTTCCTATTTTCTCATTTATCTAAGGGAAAAAGCTGATCTAAAAATACATACATACAAAAAAGAGTGCTGGAACCAAACTGTTTCAGAGCCAGGAAATTATTAGATGGATATTTTTTTTTTTTTAACATAATTACATATAGTGTGAGCTTTAACCCTCAGGAACCCAGAAGCCTTTTTGGGAAACTTCTCTCGCCTGGAATATTTATCCATCTCTTTTATGCTTTTAAAGAAACATATTTGAATGCACCATCAAGTGTAACACATTTTATCTTCAGCACAATCTGAATTATCATAATATATAGGTTGCAGTGTGTTCCTGTGTTTGAAATTATTATACGAATAAAATAGGCAGAAAATACAATTCCAAACTTTTAGTGGAAACATAAATTAAATAACGGCCTGATCTAAAATAAAAAAAACATCAAATATAAGTAGGTGTGCAGTGAGATGTGTGGAATCCTTTAACTGTCAAAAAGATCATTCACAATACTCTAACATGTTAAATAACACAAAAGGAACTATATTACAATAGACTCATAACATTCTCACGACCTGAAAGTGAAAAGAGGATGTTTGATTTGGAGATGAGATTCCAGGGAATATGTTCTGTGAGATTTAGGCCTTTTGACACAGTCTGACTCACACTGCAAATAATTACCACTGCAGAGAGAATAACGAGACAGAAGACCCTTTATGCAGCAATCTAATTTAGAATTTTCAGCAGAAATTCTCTCCTCTGTCCTACAAACATAACTTTCCTATAGCTCATTAAAGGAGGTCTACAGTCCTTATATATACTGTATACATTAAAAACAAATACATTCACAAGGAACATTAATCAACCTGGCATTTATGTTAAGACATGGGTAAATTGCATTGTTCACGCCATTGCTATCACAACTACTGACAAATCAACCTTTTAGTTGTTTTCAGAAAAGTGGAGACCTGCAACTTTGTCACGCAAGAATACACATATAAAAGAAAAGTATTTAACAAAAAAAAGTGATGGAATGCTTCTGATGTTGCAACTTTGACACCGGCATGAATACCGTCCAATATTGTTGATTCAGTCTCGATCAATCAATCAACTTGAATTTTTAGAGCGCCTTTCCTACACAACAGCACCTCGCAACTAATATCACATCAGGCATACATCACAAACATTAAAATCTACATAAACATTGAAAACGATTAAAATATGGTGAAAAAGAAATTAGGGCTGGGCGATATAAACGGTATAAGCGGTATGCGATATAAATTTGGCCCACGGTAGAGATTGTTGTTATACCGGCATATTGCAATAGGTCATTATGTCTTCAAATTGTGCAGGCTCTGACGCCAGCAGAGAGCATCAAAACAAACCGGCATTCAGCAGCATTAGCCTAGCACATTAGCCTAGCAGCATTAGCCTAGCAGCATTAGCCTAGCACATTAGCCTAGCACATTAGCCTAGCAACATTAGGCTAGCACATTAGCCTTGCACATTAGCCTTGCACATTAGTAGTGATGTGCTGAGCGTGCTGGGTCTTCGAAGCGTGTACCGAGTAAAAAAGGGGCGTATTTTTTGAAGCGTGGTTCGAGGCGTGTGTTGGTGACGTATGTGGTGACGTTCGAAGCCTCGCGTAGCGGCCGCACCACGTGACGGTTCATATAGTGCTTCATATAGTTCGGAGAGTGCATTGCTTTGACAGGTGCTTTGTGATCCGCGGCTGTACCATAGACTGTATTGGCTGTCCCCGTCTGCCTCTGTGCGTACGTGTGTGTGCGTACGTGTGTGTGCGTGATGTGGAGCAGTCCTGTACTAAGTATAGAGAAACTACTTCATATGAAATACAATTAAAAACGTTTCACTTTAGTAAAACCTCATATATCAAGGCTTCAAGTTATTAGTAATAATACGCTGGATAATACATTTCACAACAGCTGTGTGGCGCAGTCGGTATATGACGGACTCCGAAGCAGAAGATATAGCGTTCGAATCCTGGTCTACCCATAATAACTTTTGTGTTGCAAAGTAAATGTATTTATTTATTGGGAATAAATGGTTTGTTGTGTTTAATTAATCCACCTCTTGGTAGTTTTTCCTCCATTAATCACTTTCTGTAGAACTGTATTACTTTGGATGTGTTTGTTGTATCAACACAATTGACTGAAAGACTCAAATAGTTCATAGTTCATGAAGCATCATTTCAAACACAACACGTTAGACCATAGATTGTAAATATACATTTTAACATTAGATCTCACCATTCATTGTAAGCACTTAAAGAGTGTTATGTATTTTTTTGTCCACATGATGGCGTAGTGGAGCATGATTCACCTCGAGCCTTCGACTCATGGGCCGAGTAATAGGCTGCGATCCCTCAAGGCTTCATGGGGCTTCATATTGCCATCACTACACATTAGCCTAGCAGACACCACTGAAAACAGCGAACAGCAGCACGGCATTAACACCGTGTTTTTGTCTATGTATTGTTGTCACAGCGGCCCCAGCAGAGGTAAATACACACACAGTAATCACAGTTTAAGCGTCTACCTTTTGGCCAATCAGTGTCAAAGGGGCGTAAGCTCGAAGCGCCAGCGTGAGCCAAAATAGATCCATGCGTGTGCCGTGTCCGCAGCATCACAGCAGAAATTTGCAAAAGTTAGCGTCAGATTCGGACCTCCGCGGTCAATATCTAACGAAAGCTACTTTGTTAAACAAAATGTATTGTGCCAAAATGACCATTTACATCAATTGTTCAAATCCAACGTGCTGTTTTAATGCAGATAAATCCATTGAATCATCCAGTTCACTGCCAACGCAGAGAAAAAAGCTCAGGAAGCGTCAACAAATGGCAAGACCAGCTTTGTAAACGAACAATAGCTTTTACTGAAGCCATGTACAAAACTCTCAGACACTATAAGTAATGTAGTGTCTAACTCCTATTTGTGAGTTTTTAAAATATTTTAAATGAATACATATGTCTTTCTTTTTTATTTGCTTTTACAGTAAATGGTATTTACTGTAACATATATAAATAATGTATGTTACAGCATTTGTCTAACAACTATACTACAAATATATATACTAGATTATAATATATAAATAAGTAACAATCTTGACTATTTTATGCAAGAACCTGCTAGACCTATATTGAAATTCACACACCAAATTATACCACAATATATACCGTCTACCGCCTGTGTCCCAAATTATACCGCAATATGAATTTTAGGCCATATCGCCCACCCCTACAAGAAATATTTAAAACATAGAAAATAAAATCACACAAGTAATTAAAAACCTTAAAATATTAAAATCACAGATGGAATTAAAATCATATATAGCCACAGTGCATTAAAAAGAGCTTAGTATAGTCTGGTATTTCAGAGTCCAGTCTTTACTATTTTTCCCATGAGCTACATGCCCACTTAGCGTAATGGAGGAAATCATAATGCAAGTTTATAAAAAGAGCAAACTACTTTTCTTTTGGTAAAACCACATAGAAAAAGCAGGAGGAGAAATAAAGCGGATTTCAAGTAAGGAAGGCGGGAAGGACCGGAGGGCAAATTGCTAAAGTGCGGAATCCCATGTGTGCAGGATTGGGCTGCGAACGGAGGCTGGCGTGAAATTGCGCTGGTGGGCATGCGGCGGCCACGGCAGTCCAGGCCACTTTGAGAGCTCATAATCAGCAGCACACAGACAAGTGCAGGACCGGCTCGCAGCTGTGCCACTGGATAAAAGCTTTTCAACCAACACACTTTATTAGCTACCGATAACCTGCACGCAACAGAGGAGAGAAGAAGAAGAGAAGGAGAGAGGAGAGGAGAAGAGAGGAGAGGAGAGGGACCACGCACTGGGACAGACGGAGCAGGGGAAATAGGACTCTGAGGTTATGAAAGTGCGGCGGTGGAACTGGAGACGAAACGGACAAGCGACTTTCGCCTAAACGATAAGACGTGTGGCCAGAGTTTAGACAGAAATGAAGTAGAAAGACAACAAAGACAACAACTGCAGGATTTCATCTCTACTACTTTAGAATTTTATCTTTAGTCTGTTTAATGCATTGTAGCTTGTTTATCTATTATCTTTAATCCTGTGTGATTTCAATGTTTTAATATGTTTATTTTTATATTTCTTGTAATCTTGAGGCTTGTTTTTAATCATATTGTTTAATATACTGTATAGTTTATATGCAAAAACAGATACAGTAAGTGCCTTGGAAACAAACCGGAAAAGCTTCAATTTTCTCTTTCCCAAGTAGTTTTGTGAAAAGCCAGATCTATTTCAGTGCCATACAAATAAAGTTTCACTCCTTCTTGTGCAAATTTGTTCAAGTGTACTGCCATTAACAGAATATGTTGAAGATTGTACCTAGGGGGATACACTTTTTGGACAACATTTCAAAACGGAGATATCTGTTTTTGCATAATGAAGTTGTCATATGTAGATTTTAATGTTTGTGATTTATGCCTGATAGGTATGGGTTGTGAGGCGCTTTGTGTTGCCTTGTGTAGGAAAGGCGCTCTACAAATAAAAGTCGATTGATTGATTGAACAACAACAACAACTGGACAGATGCAGAGAAGCCCTTAATCAACCTGTCTTTGCATCTTTGCTGTCTTTCCACAGTTGGTCTGAAGATAAAACTCATTTGATTTCAGAGTTTAAGGCACAGCTGTTGAAATATCTTTTGTTGCAATCTTTGATGTCACAATTGACCATTTCCTCTGTTACAAATAATAGTTTGCAGTGAGTGTTCGTCATTGTCAGGTATTTGCGGTATTATCTGATCACTTATGTTCAAAATACATTGAACCAGCACTTTAAACTGATCGGCTGAGTGGATAGCACTCCTGCTTCTCAGCAAGAAGGTCCTGGGTTCGAATCCTGGTCGGAATAGGGTCTTTCTGAGTGGAGTTTGCATTTTCTCCCCGTGCCTGCATAGGTTTCCTCCAGGTGCTCCGGTTTCCCCAACCACTAAAAACACATGTACACTAGGTAAAATACTCAAGCTCTGGTCCTGACCAAGCCGAGCATCAACATCTGGAGATGGGTTCCCGGACGCTGTTACTACGGCGACCACTGCTTCTGATAGACGCCCTAGTTGCAACAGGATGGGTCAAATGAAAAAAAAAACAAAAAGGTGTAAACTGGAGTATTTTTAAACTAGAAACAAATGTAATGTAACTGTGTAACTCATTTCTAGCTCTCAAACCCTAAACCTACATGAATGAGTTTTTAGCCAAAGTCACATCTTTAGATTGAAGACAATACAAGCCCTGTCTCAGCACGGAAACGATTAGGTATAAGATAAGAATGTCTGATTTGTTTTAAAAAATTTAATTAAACAAGATTATTTCTGTTGGAATAAACGCAATGTATTTATGCAACAAATAAGAAAGTTAGATCCTTTAATATAATTAATGTACTTGACTTGTATTCTTAATATTCGGCACTATTTGTAATGGTCTGTTTTATACATAAAATAGAAACAATACCTGAAACAATAATAAGGTTGTAGTAAGTAAGTAAGTAATCTTTATTTATACAGCACATTTTGGAACTTTCACTAATGCTGTAGAAAGACGAAGCTTAATTTGATATTCTAAGGATAAAGAGTTTTGAGAATATCTCTTACCTCCGTAATGTGGCGGGGGTCCACAGAGCAGCACGACCGCCTGACCCTCTCGCACTGACACCGTGTTTCTTGTCTTACTGCTGAAGTTCTGCAAAACTGTGGAATATAAAATGAAGACATAAGTTCTAAGGTTGGGGTTATTCGGAGGGTGAAGAGCACAGACGGACACTCGAGTGAAGAGAAGATTTCTGTTGTTCAGCCAGAGGCCCAGAGCCCCTTGTTAATATCACGGTGAGAGATGCTGCTGATAAAGAGCACGACTGGGCCAGAGGGCACACAACAAAGCTGCTCACTAATGGAGCTGGAGATATTACTTTCACCTTTAATTAAATGCCACTTTACCACGCAAGAAGAAAAAACATTGGGGAGACGTATAAATGGCAGGCCTAACAAAAACCTGCCAGATCCCACTAGAGACAAACCATACCCAGAATGGAAAGAAGCCTGGACCTTAAACTCAATTCTAATATATATATATATATATATATATATATATATATATATATATATATATATATATATAAAATCCACATGATTATCACTATTTATCTATTGACTCACAAGCTTAAGTATAAAATAGGAAATTAAATTCAGGTGGACTTCATCTGTTGCAAATCAATGAATGTAATATTTGTCACAAAAAGTGTTGGATAGTCAAAAGGACTTTGAATAACATAATAAAATCTAAGCTAAGGGAGGAGTTAGGATAGGAGTCAAAACATCTCAAAAAGTTTGGGATTACACAACTTTGTAACCATGTACAAAGCATCCTCACCAAATAGAAAGAAGAACGGTGACGTGAGGCTTTGCATTGACTATCGTAAACTCAATCTTCACTCCATCAAGGAAGCTTATGCTCTCCCGAACCTGGAGGAGTCATTCTCAGCTCTCACTGGCTCACGGTGGTTCAGTGTCCTCAACCTGAAGTTGGGATATTATCAAATAGAGATGGCAGAGGCCGACAAACCAAAGACTGCGTTTGTGACCCCACTGGGCTTTTGGTCAGTGGGGCCAAGCACATTTCAACACCTCATGGACCACCGCATGGGCGATTTACATTTGAGAGAAGTCCTCGTTTTCCTGGATGAGTTAATAATCTTCTCCAACACCCTCAAAGAGCATGAGAGCCGTCTCTTGAGAGCTGCATTAATGAAACTAAATGTGAAAATTTAGACTGGATGCCATACTTAAATTCTCCCACTACCCACATCTCCCAATTGTACCTTGTCTAATCTTCAGCTGGCAGTTACGCATTTGTGCTCATCAGCAATCACCTTCTCTGGCAGCATTTACAGTGTCACTGCATTAAGCTCTCGATCGTGCAGCAACCCACCTCCTCCGTGTAATTTTTCAGATTATAATAGCACTGAAGACAAACCATTTGCAAATTTGTCAGTGAAACGTAACCATTTGCCCTTTTGTTAGTGCTTGTCTACTACGCTTGTCTATGAAATATGGCATTTCAGTTACACACTCACATGCAAACTGGACGTTGGCCTCTCTGCTGACCACAGTGCCGAACATGTTGGTGGCGAAGCACTGATACACTCCTCCATGATTGATGACATGTGGGTTATTGATCAGCAGATTCCCCTCCACGAAGCTGTAGTGGCTCTCCAACTCTGGCTTGATTTCTCTTCCGTCCACTTTCCACCTGCAGACACATATCCAAAATAAATCCATTACAGGCTCCACTATTTTTGCTGAAGAGCCACTTCAGTCTTACACTATTGTTCCCTAAAGTGCCATGCGATCGCCTTCTATTTCAAGAAACAAAATCTGCTAAAGCTGGGAGGAAAATCGATATAAAAATGAGTCGCAACACACATCGAGTTGTTTGAATTGACTCTGTAGCGTTTATGGTCACACTTGCACTCACCTATAATGCGGAGGCGGGTTCCCCTTTGCTTTGCAATTAATAAACACCTGCTTATCATCGCTGCTCAAAGGGAACACGCTGTCACTGGGCTCCTGGGTGAAGACGGGACCGTGGCGACTGTCTTCTGTTGAGAAAGCACATTAGCCGTTACAATGGCCCCCAACGAGTGACACGGAATTAATGCAACAACAAAAAATCGCTCAGCACTCAGGAAACAGTACACAAAGCCAACAAGCATATAATTAGCTGCCAACACAGCTCTTTGAGTGGATTGTACGTTTAATAAGGCCTCTTGTGTTTGTGTCACAATGCAGATAATGCACCATGATGAGAGAGCAATTAACCAAAGATAACCCCACAGGAAATAGCCGAACTGGCAGTCTCCACACACGGGCACACCCTGCTGATTTATTCCATGTTTTTATTATTGAATTGTATGCATAAAAATGACATAGACAAAGGTGGTATTGATTATGTAAGCATGTCTGATTATTATCTTTTTTATGTTCGCTCATTCAACAAGTGGGGCACCAAATTCTTTCGAAAATAATACATTTTGTTTGACCCAGAAGAATTGTACTGTCTGTGTGGAGCAACCAATTTATGGGATACAAGAAATGAGTCACAATTTGACGCTTTGGGCAGAGAGCTGGATGGTTGAGAACGGGAGGTTCTAGGGCTGGGCGATAAAACCAGAACAATATATATCGCAATAGACATGTGATCAATATCAATAGAAAATGGGGTCGATAGAATGTTTAAAACAAACAGAAAGAAATGTTGAACCAGAACCACATCGCATTCTGGGGGAAGTAGTCAGAGGCCTCTCGACCTATCACGACCGAGCATGAGCCGCAACGCAGAACGAGAGCAAATTGAAATTGTAGATAAAAAAATGAAAGGTCACGTCACCAGTTTTGCAGTATTTTGGATTTTTAAACTCTCCACAAGACTTATAGGTCTGTGGTGATCTGCAAACTTTGCAAGGTCATCATCCCTACCAAGTCTGGGAATATGGCATATTTATTTATTTAGGTTTAAAAAACAACAAATCAAAATTTATCGATATCAACTGATATGAAACACTGTAGTTTTCAGCCATATCGCCCAGCCCTAGGAGGTTCTCACTTTTTTACCTAAAGCTTATTTATACAAACTCGTGATATAGTACTAATGTGTGCTGAGAGCCAGGGACAAGTAATAGATTTTATTACATAGATTAAAGTTTGTGTGGTTTGAGGACAGTATAGTATTATTTGAGTATAGAACAGGTACATTTTCTGAAGCAGTCCCCTGTTATTTACCTTAAAAGTTGCGCAACACAGCAGAATTGCCTTTATTGACTTCTCTACAGCCTAAAAGTACATAAAAAACATGCATTCTAACTGTGGAGCATAGTTGACTTGAAACTTGGCCAGATGGTGTGATCTGCTCATCACTATGAAACTAGGCTGCAATTCCAAGCCATGAAAACTATTTCCCAGGTTTGTGCTGTCAAAATGGAGGAGTTAATAATGCAATTACACTGCAGGTGTTGCCTTGCTTTGGCTGAATGTAATTAATGCGTTGGCCCTAATGTAGTTGTCTATATGCAGCCTGCGCATGTGTTTGGCTCAGTGGAGCTTGCCGTTTAGTTTGCTCCAGCCAAACTATCAATACACAAGAGTAATTAACCGGTGTTGCACTAATTAGTCCCGTGAAATTCGAACATTCCCCCTGTAGATGTACCATCACATTTCACTCCGACATGGTGTCTTCTTTCAAGGCCATTTGTTGTGTAGTGTTTTCTTTAGTATTAACACGGCACCTTATGATTTGGTCAAGGTAAGAGACACCATCAACATGTAGTTTATCTTGAGTAATACAAATAGAAATTCACTTCCTCCACACCTTTTTTTGGACATTAATGATTGCAATTTATGATTTCACATGATTATTGATGCAACATGACAGCAGTAATTTTTCCATGTATATGTAAATTATGTAAAAAAAAACATCTCTATATTGTTTTTTCCAAATAGAATATGAGTGAATTAAATGGTAAAAGATCTTGATCCATCAGAGAATATGTTGCTTAAAAAGTAATGGGCTTAGCAATGGCACTATCCTCAGGTCAAAATGACCCGACACAAAAGATTAACTCATTGACAGATTCTGAAAGACTGGACTGTTTACGTTCATCAGCAAAAATAAGTTTATTTCTAGCTAGTTTTGTTCTCCTGTAAACCCCACTCAAATAGAGTGATGTTTTTTGACAGAAATCACCTCAGACAAATACATCAATAGCAGTCAATCAGTTAAAAGTAGACAAAAGATAAATACCATTAATTAGGGTCTAAAAAGGTGGAAATGATCCAGGACTGGTCCAGGTAGGACAAATCATCATCATTCAGATATTTTGGGTATTTTTGTGGCGGGTCAATTTGACCCGAGGATAGCACAAAGGTCACACTCAGCTAATCTTGAGCCAGATCTACTGGTCATTATCAATAAAAAACAAAAATCTATTGAATACACAAATCATATAAATGCATTGCTTTAATTATTTCTCATGAGAAGCAAACATTTAAACAAAAGACAATTAGTTCGGTCAAATTAAGTTAAAAAAAATCAGGTGTGACAAAATGTATTGGTTTTATCTCCAATTCATCCAAATAGTCGACGCATTCCAGGGGGTAATATTTTCCCCAGGGTTTGAAAGTCAGTGTGCAAGATGTGATGGGGGCATTTTAATCTGGATCAAAGTAATTTAAGGAATTGAAATGTGCCTCTTAATGCGCTCTACGAAAGCTTTTCTATTATTGTTTCCCCTGTCATTGTTGCCCTGCTTGGAACTACTGGCTCCTTAAGTGAAGGTCAGGGAAAGTTCACCCTTTTTATACATAACCAAGGAGTGAATCAAACAGTATATTTTCTGTGAATCTGAAACTATTATACATTATACAATAAAATAATTTTCTTTACTTTTGTGTTTAAATAGTAATGTTTTTCAAGTCCATAATCTGTTTCTTCCACCTGACAAATGTTGTTTTTGCATATAACCTTGGCTAGGACGAAGAGAACTCCCTCCCACATCCCCATCATCATCACCCTCCTAATGAGAGTGTGAGGGCTCGCCTCAGGTAAGGGCCTTGTTTTCCCGCTTCCCGGGGAGTTGCTTCATTTTTACTCCACTTGCTGTGTCCTTTAAATTAAACAAATTAATGAACCTCTAATAGGAGGGCTACTGCACCTGGGAACTGAGTGAGGGAGCAATAGCCCGCCTATAATAGGGAGGTAGCAGAGAATGAGGCCGTGCAAGACAGCCGTCGATATGCACACTTCAGCACGTACTAACACGTACATACAAATGAGTATAAGAAACTGTATTATATGCACAAGCCATATTCAGAACCCCTGTGTATTGGCAATACAAAAAATTGTAACATAAAAAATAAAATAAATACAATAAATATATCTGAAGAGCCACTTCAGTCCTACACTATTGTTCCCTAAAGTGCCATGCTATCGCCCTATATAAACAACTAGTCAATTCATCAAAAAAAACACTGGGAAAACGTATTGATTATCAAAATATTTGTTCATTACAACCCGAATGTAAATATAGCATCATAGTAGTAACAGAAGAAAGTCACAGTCTGGTGTGTTCTGTCTGATAGTGAAAATCTCCCAAAAAAATATAACATAAAACATATTAAAAAATCATCTCAATTTATAACATAAACACTCCAAGTACTAAACATTATCTGCATGAATGTATAGTTTATAGGCGCAATACGTTTTTGGCAGTAGAGAATGTGAAAGATGATAGAAAGATATTTGGCATTCGTTTACATAAGATCGCTCCATTTGAACATGGTGGCTGCAGTTACGTACAAAGGAGAGTCATTTCAAAATAAAATTAAATCGTAAAATATCTTGAAAATCCCCTCGATACCACTGCAATCTGATAAAGTGACTCAACTGTTTGGATGTAGCAAGAAAAGTCCATGCCAAAGAAACGCTACTGTTTAATTAGACACATTTCAAAATCAAGAATCCTGGATACAGTTTTACAACACTCCTTGTATGACATAACCTGAATACTATTTGAAGACGGTGCCGGCAGAAAGTCTCATGGGATTGCAGTGATTCTGTCTGAAATGAAGTGATAACCTTAACATGGGACTGAACATGAGCCGTGCAGTATTATGCATATGAGGCGCGTGTCAGGAGGGGCAACTCACCAGCCAGGCACGCTCTGAGTGACAGTAGGATTAACAGTTCCCATGACAACGACATCTTCACTTCCCAAGGTCAGAGCTGGTCCGTGTTCCCATCCAGTGTCCCAACGTGAAGAGGTTTCCCGGGTGGATTTGAATCACCAAGGCTCTGCGTGGAAACAAGAGAGCAGAGTGAAGTACTTGCTGGACTACTTAGAAAGCCTGTATATAAAAAGAAAATAATTTTTTTCAACATACAGTGGACAAAATGCAACCAATCTTCAGATCTCAACCCCATAGAAAATCTTTGGAGGGAGTTGAAAGTCCGTATTGCCCAGCCGCAACAGGCCCTGCACATTGATCCTCTATAGCAGGAATGTCAAAGTCAAATACATCAGAGGGCCAAAACAACTCATTTTCTACAAGCCGAGGACCGGACTGGTTCAATGTTTATCAAAACACATAAAGGTGATTGAATATAATTTGACCAACCCCAACACAGTGAACCATATTTGAAACAAACTTCCTTCAAAGAGAAAACACATGTCCTTAACATTAAACACATAATCTAATATTATTGTATGGCTCTGCGCAACCGGTTTTAATACTAATCCAATATCATCCCGGGGGCCAAGATAATGTCTTCGCGGGCCGAATCTGGCCCCCGGGCCTTGACTTTGACACCTATGCTCTATAGAAAAGAACTGCATGGAGGAATGGGCCAAAACATAGTGAAAACTTTTCAGGTATATAACATAGTTAGAGTTGGGCTTTTGTTATTGACTAAAATGGAGCTTTCGCGAAAGTTCACCGTGGTAGACCCGGCTGTTGCTGCCAGGCCACAGGCTGCTCTTCCTCGACTCATCAATACCAGCAACGCCCACACCCAGTCAACCAATAACCACCAGGACAGCAAGTTAAAAGCCGGAGACGCCCACTTCCCGATCTTCTGAAGTCTGCAAGCTTCTGAAGCCTGCAAGGTGCATGTCGCTAACGCACCTGTTCGCAAATGCATGCGTTGTTCTGGAGGGGTCGCTTCTGCTCACGTGTTGCTCGTGCGCGTGGCCCGGCTGTCCTCAGTCTGGCTGCTCGTGGTCTGCTCCTCCTCCGCGTCCCTGCACCTGCTGTGGTTCGCGTGTCTCCACTGCTCTCCTCCTCTGCGGGCTCTTTCTGCGGGCTGCTCCGCGGGGCCCCTCCGCGGTTCTGTGCTGCTCGTTCCTCGTGGTCTGCTGCCGCGCGCAGACGGTCAGGCGGTGCCGTGCGTGTCCCTGCCTCCGACTGGCGGTGCCGCGTTGTCCCGTTGCTTTCCCAAGTCTCCTGGCATGTGAGTACAGTGAGTGTGCTGTGCTGACCGCGGACAGTTTAATCCCGGAGTCTAGGCTGCAGGTGGCTGGTTTTTTGCCCTACGCACTTGACTGCAGGCGTCAGTCTTCGCCCGTGCTTGGTCTGCAGGCTCCGTTTTACACGTGTTGAGCTAACTGAGGGACAATGCATCTTAATTGGCATCAATCTCCAATGTCTGAGGGGTATAAGAGGAGCAATGTGCATTAATTCAGATTCATGTTCTGCCACTTGCAGTAAAACCACGTTGGAAAAAATGTGCAAAGACAACCCCATCGTGCTCCAGACGGCACACACAGAGCTCTTGCACGGCGCCATCTTTACAGCATCAATCTCATTACTCGCAAGTCACTATTGTTAAATGATGTATTTAAATTCGTCTATCTGCAGGAGGAAGGAGGGGCCATGCATTTAAATAGCTAGGTCACTAGTATTAAACTGGGTAACTAAACTGCAGTTGTTGCATTTCGAAAGTGCAGCAGAAAGAAAAGGGGCCCAATGTGAATATGCAATGGGTTTGAAGTGGAGCTGGAGCTAATGAACGCATGGATCAGTGATCGTTCATGCGTATCTGCCATAACCAAAGCAGCAAGTTGGCTCCAGGGGACATCTGTTTCTCGCATGGGAATGTTTCGGATTCGGGTTGATTTATTTCCTCAGGCTCTTAAACAACCGTGGGCATGGTTCTCTGACCGCCGCTGCTGCGGTCCCTGCTGCCGTTCCTACTGATGCCTGATCCCGCTGCTGCCTATTCCTGCTGCTGCCTGTCCCTGCTGCCTGCTCCTGCTGCTCCTACTGCTCCTACTACTACATGTGCCGCTGCTGCTGTTCCTGCCGCTGCCGCTCCGCAGGCTCCCAGGCTGCACCTATCTCTACGGCTCGGCTCTTCAGACACGTACGTAACCTGGCTCACGGAGACAAGCGGCGCACGCTGGCGTGACACGTCTGTTGTTCGTATGAATTGCATTGTGCTGCTGCTGCTTGCTGCTTCTGCTGCCGCTACTGCTGCTATTGCTGCCGCTGCTGCTTCATACTGCATCTGCTGCCGTGCTGCTGCTGCTTCTTTACTTTGACACCTCTCTTCACTGCGCATCTCTTTTACTGAAACACTAAACAGCTTCAACTCTATTCTACTGCGGTGGCTTGATACAGGATTATTGCTGTTATTATCTACGGATGCTGCAACCGCTGCTGCTGCTGCTGCTTCATGCTGCTACCGTTACTGCTGCTACTGCTGCCGCTGCTGCTTCATACTGCATCTGCTGCCGTGCTGCTGCTGCTTCTTGTACTTGACATCTCTCTTCACTTCGCATCTCTTTTACTGAAACACTAAACAGCTACAACAATATTCTACTGTTCTGGCTTTGATACAGGATTATGGCTGTTATTATCTACGGATGCTGCAACCGCTGCTGCTTCATACTGCTACTGCTGCTACTGCTAATGCTGCTTCTGCTGCTTCATACTGCTACCGTTACTGCTGCTGCTACTGCTGCGCTGCTGCTGCTGCTGCTTCATGTACTTTGACATCCCTCTTCACTTCGCATCTTTTTTACTGAAACACTAAACGGCTACAACAATATTCTACTGCTCTGGCTTTGATACAGGATTATTGCTGCTATTATCGACGGATGCTGCAGCTGCTGCTGCTTCATACTGCTACTGCTGCTGCTGCTTCATACTGCTACTGCTGCTGCTTCATACGGCTACTGCTGCTACTACTGCTGCTGCTGCTTCATTTACTTTGCCATCTCTCTTCACTTCGCATCTCTTTTACTGAAACCCTGAACAGCTACAACAACATTCTACTGCTGTGGCTTTGATACAGAATTATTACTGTTATTTTCTAAGGACGCTGCTGCTGCTGCTGCTACTGCGGCTTGATACAGGACTTTTGCTGTTATTATCTGAGGCTACTGCTGCTGCCGCTGCTGCTACTGCTACTGCAACCCATTCTCTCAGAAGCTTATCCTGCTTCTAATGGATGCAGCCCGGCTGAGTATGCCGCGCTGCGCCGGACTCGCACCTATGCTCCCAGGGTCGCTTCGGCGGTCGTGCTTCATCTCTCTACTGAATCTTCTGATTCTATCAGATGCAGCTGGCCAAGTAGCTGCGCTGAGCCGTCAATCGGACTCCTAATCAAAGGCATCCATACCTGGTTCTTCACTCTTCTGATCACAGGCTCCCCATCATGCTGCCCATCCTGCAGCGGCGCTGAACTCCGGCTCATCTTCCAAGTACATGTCTGCCCTCCTCGCAGCATCTTCTGCTCGCCTTCTGTGGCTTCTCTGCATAAGCGTTTCACCACTGCTCACTCAACCTTCAATGCGGTCCGAGACACGGCTTCCCGTCCTATCCTACTGGCCTAATTATCTACTCTCCAACCCAAGATTCTAAGCGTAAAGGCGCCTGCAACATCAATGGCCCTCTCCGGTGTGTCTCTCTGCCCCTACAGGTCTCCGCTTCTACACGGACGCTGCCCCTTCCGTGGGTTTTTGGGGGATTCTTCCAGGACCAGTGGTTCGCCGGCCGTGGCCCGCTACTTTCCCCGGAGCATTTCCTCTGCCCTACACGAGACATTCCCAGTGGTCGTGGCCTGCGCGCTGCGGAATCACACGTGGCAGAGAAAGAGGATCTCTGTCATGCGTGATCATCTCGACGTAGTGGAAGCATTAAACAAAGGTCGCTCTTCTCACCCAACATAATGTCCCCTGACCATTCAACCTTCATCTCAAACATTCAAAGATCAGAGGCGCCTGCAACACAATAATAGCTCGCTTCGACACATCTCTCTGCCCCTACAGGTCCATGATGCGTTACACTCGCCTCCGCGGCAAAAAGGAGATTTTAACGGACCTCTAATTCTCACTCCAGTCAACCTTCCCATAACAGCAACCTGGTTCAGAGCTCAGCTAAGATCCCTACTGCTCCTCTGCAATTTGTCTCCCCAGCTCTATACAGCCCACTCCTTCAGGATAGGCGCTGCCACGCGCACGACCTCGCTGGGGCTCCCCCACTCTTCCTCTGCAACGGCTGGGGCGCTGGTCCTCTTCGGCTTCTCCACCTACATCCGGCCAGATGCGACCGCTATCATGGCAGCACAACGTCTACCGGCTTCATCGTAAGCTCCCAGCAAAGCAAGTAAGCAATAAGATTCTGGTGGCGGCACGCACTTTCCTCAAACGCTCAAAGATTCCTTGCTTCAGCGTCTGGCTGAATATGAGCGTGCGCTCATATTCTCAGTTCGCTCAAAGATTCCTCTGCTGCGGCTGGCTGAGCATGCGCGTGCGCGCATGCTCTCAGTTCGCTCAAAGATTCCTCTGCTGCGGCTGGCTGAACATGCGCGTGCGCGCATGTTCTCAGTTCGCTCAAAGATTCCTCTGCTGCGGCTGGCTGAGCATGCGCGTGCGCGCATGCTCTCAGTTCGCTCAAAGATTCCTCTGCTGCGGCTGGCTGAACATGCGCGTGCGCGCATGTTCTCAGTTCGCTCAAAGATTCCTCTGCTACAGCGGCTGGCTGAACATGCGCGCGTGCGCATGTTCTCAGCTCGCTCTTGCTCTCAGGCCCGCGCAGTACGTCCTGCTATCCCAATCGCAGGCCCGCTTTTTGGGGATCATGCACGCGAGCAAGCGCCGTGCTCAACAGCATCCCGCCCGGGCCTAGGGCGCCAAACATGCTCAATCAATAAACATGCTTAAATCTAATAAGTCCAATGCGTTCCTCATGGGTCTCTCCAAG